GGGAAGATTTATCCTGAAAGGTTAGCTGGGATTCTGTGTGCATAAGAGGCCCCGTATCAACGATGTCAAGTCAAGTCAAGTCAAGTCAAGTCATTTTATTTTGTATAGCCCAGAATCGCAAATTACAAATTTGCCTCAGAGGGCTTTACAGTCTGTACACATACGACATCCTCTGCCCCGAAACCCACCATCGGCACAGGAAAAACTCCCCAAAAAATGAAAAAAAACCTTACAAGAGGGAAAAAAGGGAAGAAACCTTAGGGAGAACGTCAGAGGAGGGATCCCACTCCCGGGATGGACAGACTACAATGGATGCCATGTGTACAGAATGAACAATGTATAATACATGCAATTCCTATGACAGAAATGATTCAAGTAATTGTGAGTAGTAAGCCAGGCGCACAGCAGGACCACTGCAGAGGCAACCACCATCAGATAGAACCACCATCCACAGAATCCTGTGGGGAGGGAGAGCACAGAGATTTTAGGAGAGGGTAATGTTGGTTTATGAGTAAAGTAATATGATTAATATCTAAAATAATGATGATGATGATGATGATGGCAGCAGCAGGCGTCAGCATGGCCACGGTAGGTGTCAGGACCAGGGTCCCGAAGGAACCACGATCTATGGAGACCTGATAGGGGCGAAAGCACAAAAAAAACTCCCGGAAAGAAGCTGAATTAGTCATGTGCATTAATAAAACTTGAATTATGGTAGAAAGAGAGCGTGAGAGAGGAGCTCGGTGTGTCCTAAGAATTCCCCCGGCATTCTAAGCCTATAGCAGCTTAACTAAGGGCTGGTCCGCGCTAACCTGAGCCAGCCCTAACTATAGGCAGAATCAAAGAGGAACGTTTTAAGTTTTACTTTAAAAGAGCTAACCGAATCTGCCCCCCGGACTGAAAGTGGAACCTGGTTCCACAAAAGAGGAGCTTGATAACTGAAGGCTCTGGCCCCCAGCCTACTTTTTAAAACCATAGGAACAACAAGTAACCCAGCATCTATGGAGCGCAGTTGCCTTGTAGGGCAATACGGTGTTACAAGCTCTTGAAGATACAACGGTGCCTCACCAGCAAGTGCCTTGTAGGTGAGGAGAAGTACCTTAAAATCTATTCTTGATTTAACAGGGAGCCAGTGCAGAGAAGTTAATACAGGAGTGATATGATCCCTTTTCTTAGTTCTTGTTAATACACGTGCTGCAGCATTCTGAATCAGCTGGAGAGGCTTAAGAGATTTACAAGAGCAGCCTGATAACAAAGAATTACAGTAGTCCAGTCTGGAAGTGACAAACGCATGAACTAATTTTTCTGCATCACTTTGAGACAGGAAGTTCCTGATTTTTGATATGTTACGTAGATGGAAATAGGCAGTCCTTGAAGTCTTCTTTATATGCGAGTTGAAGGTCATATCCTGGTCGAAGAGAACTCCCAGATTCCTGACGGTGCTGCTGGGTACCAGAGCAATTCCATCCATAAAAACTGTATCACGCGACAGCTGGCTTCGAAGGCGCTCTGGGCCTATCAGGATAACTTCCGTTTTTTCTGAGTTTAGCATCAGGAAGTTGCCGGTCATCCAAGTTTTGATGTCTCCAAGACATTCTTGGAGTCTAACTAACTGGTCCGTCTCTTCTGGCTTGATCGACAGATACAGTTGAGTATCGTCTGCATAACAATGGAAGTTTATGCGGTGTTTCCTGATAAGATCGCCCAAAGGAAGCATATAGAGGGTAAATAAAATCGGTCCAAGTACAGAACCTTGTGGGACTCCGTGACCAACATTGGTGGTCTTTGAGGATTCACCGTTTACAAGCACAAACTGGGATCGGTCCGATAGGTAGGATTTAAACCAGCTGAGTGCAGTTCCTTTGATACCAATTAAATGTTCTAGTCTCTGCAACAGGATACAATGGTCTATGGTATCAAATGCGGCACTGAGGTCCAGCAAGACAAGAAAAGAGATGAGTCCTTGGTCCGATGCAAGTAGAAGATCATTCGTAATTTTCACCAGTGCTGTTTCTGTACTGTGATGCACTCGGAATCCTGACTGGAAATCCTCGAACAAAGCATTGTTTTGTAGAAAGTCACATAATTGATTTGCGACGGATTTCTCAAGGATCTTAGAGAGGAAGGGAAGATTAGAGATAGGTCTGTAGTTAGCCAACACCTCTGGAGCAAGAGTAGGTTTCTTAAGAAGAGGTTTAATTACAGCTACCTTGAAGGACTGTGGTACATGTCCTGTCAACAAAGACAGATTCATAATATCTAATAAGGATGTGCTAACTAAAGGAAAAACTTCCTTAAGCAGTTTGGTCGGAATCGGATCCAAGAGACAAGTAGAAGATTTAGACTTTGAAAATAAAGAAGTCAGTTGATCAAGGTTGATGGAAGAGAAGACATCCAAACAGGCATCAGGGCCCACTGCTGCATCCAAGGAGGACAGGTCGGCACTGGTTGAAGGCAGGAGACCATCAATTTTCTCTTTGATAGTCAGAATCTTATCATTGAAGAAGTTCATGAAGTCGTTACTAGTGAGGTCCAAAGGAATACACGGCTCGACAGAGCTGTGACTCTCTGTCAGTCGGGCTACAGTGCTGAAGAGAAACCTGGAGTTGTTTTTATTTTTCTCTATTAATGATGAGTAATAAGATGCTCTTGCGTTACGGAGAGCCTTCTTATACGTTTTAAGGCTGTCTTGCCAAACTAGCCTAGATCCTTCTGATTTGGTGGAACGCCATAATCGTTCAAGCTTCCGCACAGTTTGCTCTAGGTTAGGTCATCAAGGTTTTAGCAATATGACATGAAATGTTCACAGATATTATTCAAACACCTGATGGCCTTGTGAGGGCTCTGCTACAAAATTGTCATGTAATTTGTTTGTTCATGGTGTCGATTCCCAGTCTCAACAGCGAACCATTGTTTCCTGGAGGGGGTAGGAAACATCTGGTAGGGGTATTGCTATCCCAAGATGCCGGCTGATGGCAAAGCAAGAAAGAGGGAGAGCATCCAAAGCAACGTGCTTCCGGACAGGCGGAAGAGAGTTTGACTCAACGCTGCAGGCATAGAACCTTCATTGTGTGTTTGCTGGCACTACGATGATGAACACTCTCTTATTGAGGCTGGCACGCTTGCATGAAGTCTCCATGTCACTTTTACCTCTCAGGGCATTGTTACTGTTCACACTAACTTTCCTTTGGTTGTTTTCCGTCCAAGAAACACTGTGTTCTCCACGTGGGATCAGAAGCAGGAACTTCTCAGTCTACTTGTGCCCCCCCCTGTTCCCTAAACTGCAAACCATATGGACTCCCTCTACGTCCAGGCTGAGCTGAAGGAGGAAGAGGATGATGGGGTGCGTTGGGAAAAGGAGGGGGGCTGTTTTTGTTCAAGGTTAATGGGTTATCCTCGTGTAGGAAAGGTAGAAACGTATAAGAAGAAAAGAAAAGGTGTCAATTTCACACGCGGCCTTGAGCATCGACTCGGTCACAGAGAACCATATCGAGTGCCTGACAATAATATTTTCCGGCTAGATATTAAACAACTTACACATTTGAGTTGAATTTCTGGACAACAAACAGATGCGGCAGATGTCTTCATGTTTTAGTTCTTTTAGACTTTAACGAAATCGGGAATCATGTCCCGTGGTCGTCCCTAAAATTTCTTATATGATCAATTAGTGGTAGTTTATACAGTTTGAACCCTGCAGCTTATCCCATTCAAACGATCCTTTTCTGTATCTAATCATAGCACTGCACCATTTACTTAGGGATACAAACTAGCCCTGATATGATGGATAAGATAATCCTGCCATGGAGCCAGAACAACAGGCCCCGGAGCGGCAGCACCTGGTGGATTTGCTTGTCAGCATTATTCTGGAATCTTTTACTCTACGTGTATTCATACTGTACACACGCGCTGAATGTAAGTGCGAGTGTGTGTTTGTCTTCGAAAGTAAGTTTATGCGTATTTTGGAACCTGCAGAGTTAATATATTGTCCCTGCGAGTGTAAACTGCGCTTTAGTGTTAAAGTTAGATGATGGTCAAATGATACTAAATCCACCGATAACCTCAAGCTAAAAGTCTCTCCGTGATGTCACGAGCCCGTAGCTGGTGAAATCAGACACCACCGGCTGGTAGGAGTTGCGTTGGGGTGAACCCGGATCCCCTTGCACCGGGGCAAGTCAAGGCACATTGCAGAAACCAGCGCCGGGGGGCTGAAGACGCGCAGAGCCAGATCCGCTGTTGTTCGGCGACTCGGCGAGAAGCAGTCGAGCTCTCAACCTCCGCACCGCACACAGACAATCCCCGCAGTCCGACCAGCCGCTTCTCCGAAGCCTACTTTTCCATGCCGCTGTTGCGCGTCTCCACTTTGGATAGAAGCGGTCCGGTCAGTGCGCGCCGCAGAGCGCAGAGGATCTGAGAAGAAGCGGGAGACAATGAGGAGATTCTGAGGTGGCTGAACTTCTCCGTTCACTCGGCGCGTCCCGTGGCTGTTACCAAAGGGTTAGCCCATGAGCAGGTATCCTCTTCAGTGTGATTCTGTTTTCACCCAGATCTCTGCTGCCTGGACAAATGCATACAAATGCATTTAGGAGCTCAACGGAGAAGGAGTGGACACGTTTCCGCGGCAGCAACGTAAGTGGACATTTGGTAAATTAATACTGTGCAGTTGTCACTTTACCTGTGTGCATTTGGAACAGTTCCTCGGACAGATTTTAAAATAAAATCCTTACTGGGGGGTATTTTCAATCGATCCACACACCCGTATAGTTTAACATTGGAATGCTGAATTGTGCTTCTGCTGACTTTTTGTTCTTCGGTCCTGCAGAACAACTACACAAGACACACTACAGCTGCACAGCCATACTGTAAAAGTTCATTCAAGTGAACTTGTTCTTTTGTTTATCTTGATACATGGAGCTGACATCTTAGTAAGTGCATGTCGTGGCTCTAAACTCGCCGCATGAACATGCAGCTTGGGATCTCCTCCATTATTATCTGAATACCATGCGGCGCACTGCCAGAAATGAACACTGGAAATGGCTTGAAGCATGATGCCTACTCATCATTTCAGTGATATTTCCTCGCTGTGCACTTTTATGACAAGCATAAATGTCACAGACTCGAGATGAAATGAATTAAACTCTGCCACACTGTTTACCTTAAATGGTGGTGGGCTGGGAGGATCTATTTAGTGCCTTAAACCTTAACATTCCTCATGGATGTGTTTATTATTGGCAGCCTGCGTGCAGGTTTTGTTGTCCTGTTACATTCAGCTGGGACTATAGGGCTGCAGAAATGTGCACGCCTCCATAGGTTACTTAACAGGAAATGCATGTTCTTCTATCGCAAGTGAGTCCAAGTTGTCTGTACCCTATTATGAGTTCCTTCCAGATCTGAAAAGTGCTGAGCTCACAAAGCATTCGGTTGTTCCCCGCTGACAGTGTTTGCTCGATAGAAAACAGAGTGGACCTGATATCCCCGAGAGTTGCTTTTTTTTTTTCTCCTTCAGAGTGAAAATGAGAGCCGTGCAACAGACCTAGGTTTAGGGAGAACAATCATGGCCTCCCTTGAATTCACTGGGAGAGTTTTAGTGTCTATGCACCAGTGGTTAACTGGCTCCTGAGCCCCAGACGATCATCCGCTGCTGCATATATCTGCTCCTCTGCTGGCGGTGCGGAGACGCACAGCTGCTCACATACTGTAAGCTTCACTGAGAAGCTCCATGATGCTGGCTGGAGCTTCCCATGAGACGGTTAATCAGGAAGTCGAGACCAGCTACACTTTGGAGGAGGTGAACCTAGACTAAATGGTAAATGCTCATCACGGATGATGTCCTAATGAGATGGACTGCTTTTTGCCTGGTGCTCTGACACAGTGGATAGATTAGTGGAAAGTCTGATTGTTTCATCTACTGGGTGGTGCACCTGGGTTTTGTGGATAGGTGTCCTCTGTATTTGGTTTCAGAGTTTTTCTCTTCATTCGGCATCTGAAGGTGTAACTTTATTTGTATGAGGACTCACATAACAATTTACACAACATGCACACGTCTTCTTGTCGTGACTGGACCACCAACAAGTGCACTGTGAGGAACTGGCCTCCAACCCTTGTTGTTGTTCTGTACAGATAATGAAGCTTGCCGTGGGGCCGTCATCACGCTTACTGTAATTGCAGCCTCAAATCTTTTGTTTTGTTTTTCATGTATTTTAAGTCAAAGAGTCTGTAATCTTTGGCAAATAGGAGTCACAAGCGTGTCTGAATCCTGTATGGGTGGTATGACACAGAGATGATGATCAAGAGAGCACTCTACCCACATTAAAAAATGAAAAAGAAAAAAAGTAAATCTACAGACGCCAATGCAAACACATGCAAACATCCTGTAAGTATAATGGAAGGTGAAATCACCGGGCTGCCATATAGTCACCTTCTCTGCCACATTGCCTTCAGGGTCTTTGGCCTGTCTGAGTCGGTGTATTTAACCCTTCTAACATCTGCAGGTCCCCCTGCAACAGGGAAAGGGAAAACTATTAAAGGCCATTGAAGGTTTACTCACAGCTCTTTGTCTGCTCACTGTCCTGTGGACTACGTCAATCTTTACTCTGTTTTTGCAGTGACCTCTTGAATCCAGTCACCACTCCGAGGGAGCACAAAAATCGGCTGTCAATTAAGACACAACATTCAAAGCTGTGTGCATTAGATGCTTGCCGTGTTTTGGAAACGTATCAGACGTGAATTCCATTTCAAACCTTTGCCAGAGATAAAACACCGAATAGCTCATTAAAACCTGGACACTTTTGCGAACATTTAGACTCATGGCTGTTTAGACTCGAGAAGCTGCTTCCATAATGAAGCAATCATGACGATAATGCAGGTGCTGAAGCTGAAACATGGCCAGTGGGAACATACATTGGCTGTGGATCAGCCACTCGTGTTCAGGGAATTCTTGGTGGAGACGGAAAACAGAAGTGTGCAGGACACCTTGTTAGCAAGACACTCTGATATTTCTATTGAGATAAATATCCACTTGGTCTTAGCGTTTGAGCAGTGCGTGTGTGTGTTTGTTTGTATAATGCTCGGTGATATTTGGAGAGCTCCACAGTTTATATGGTGGATGTTATATTTCAGCTGCTGGAGCTATTTCTCCCGCAGTTGTTCTTTGCAAAGTGATTTATGTTACAACACTCATTATGGCTACTAGAGCACCGCGTCAGGTTGGGTTTCGAAGTTATTTGCTCCACTCTGTTTTGAATCCCACTCTATTTGAAACTTGGGCTCAGTGTCTTTGCCATGAAGGGCACATAAAGGTGAAGGTTTGGCAAATTCTCCACATTCAAGCCCTATAAACCTCATGGTTTTTGAGTGATGACTGTGGAGTACTTCTAAAGAGTACTACAGATACTCTTGTGATATTATGAAATCAAATGTGTTGGGTTAAATATGGTGACTTCCATTGTGTAAAGAGGCGCTGCTGTTGTCGCCTACATGGTTTTTACACCTTTCACAGATTACAGCAATTTAATGCGTAAACCTTTCCGTTTGTTTATTCCCTCAAGAAGTTCCAACGTATTAAAGTTGTTTGGATGGATTAACAGGGTCCTGTACTTTGTAGACGCTAATGGATTCAGTTAGTGTAAACATGGCACTGTGAACACCACTGCTCTCAAAGCCAATTCCCAGAAAGTAGGACCGTTGTTTCCTTCTCCCGGTGAGGATCGTAAACAGAACGTCCGAGACATCGCACTATTTCCCCGACCAGATGAAGCTCTGCACATCTGCATTTGCCTCTCGCCCCTCTTCCTTAGTCAAATGGACCATTGGAACGGATCCCAGCTAATTCCGAGAGTGAAAAACTGCAACCTCTGTTACTGCTGATCCATTGCAGAGAGGAGATTTAAGTTGTGATTATTTATTGTCTTGACATGACACCCACTCCCAATGTAGTGGCATTTCCCTGGGTCAACAAAGCAGTGTTTGTGGAGCTTAGTCTTTCTTTCAGCAGTCTTTTCCATTAACTGGAAGGACTGGAAAGTGGTCAGAGAGTGCTGTCACTTAAACTGTGATTTAATGAAGAGGCAATGGAGCGGCTGGCTCTGCCTGTAGTCTCGTCACTTACATACCGTTTGCATACAATTACAAAAAGCTTTAAAAAGGTCTCACAAAGTTATCCCACTGATCCTGGACAGGAAGGAAGGTAAATGCCAGGGTTTAAAGTAACTGAGCCGTGGAGATGTGCTTGATGCTTGAGTCTTTTTTGTTGGTGAGTCTCAGGGACGCCTTAAATAGCTCTTTACAGGGAGTCTGTGTGACAGACGGCCAGAAAAAGCTGTCTGAATCAGCATGAGATGGCCCCACTTGGCAACAAGTGAATGTTACGTCTTCTATTTAGTCGTGTGCTCTTTTTTTTCTTCCTTTTTTTAAGAACTGTGCCATTAGCCAACTTTAAAGCAAAACTAGCTCCTTAATGGCTTCATAAATGCCATTTATATCGTCTCTCAGCAGATCAATGATTGCAATCATACATTCTCCCATCGTTTTCCTGCCTCCGGGGACGTGCCAATGTTCCCGGCAGTGGAACGTAGCACCACTTTCTTGATGGGGAACAGGTGGCACACACTGCTCCGACTGTTTTTACTTATGCTCAATCGTTTTCTTCCCTGTTGTGTCTGTTGACTTTTCTCCTCATGTCTTTCTTTGTCCCCTTGTCTCATTTGTTTCTCTGCCTGCATCTGTTTCCTCTTTGTTGGGCTCCAATGTGCCAGTCCACATTGCCCTGGGAAGACAAACATGGCTGCCTGTCTGTCGCTTCCCGTCCAGCAGGGCCACACAAATAACCACCGGTAGCTTCTTTGCTGGGTTTATTTTATCCTCCGAAGCCATGAAGGAGCGATGTTTGTGAAACAGCAACTATGTTTGTAGTCATCACAACCGGCATAATCATACGTGGATTTCTGAGGGGTGACAGCAGCCCGTGATTGATGGGACTCTCGCATAACTGCATATTGAAATAGCAGTTCTTATGTCTCTTCCTGTCTTTTGCCCGGCCACAGTTGACAGTCATCACGCCGGTTGCCAAAAGCCCCCTCAAGTTGTGTCAGCAGCTGTTACTCCGTGCAGGGCTGTCGAGGTGATTGATTTGGTTTGAATGTAAGGAGTTTGCTTTGAAGCAGTCTGTAATTGCTCTGGAAAATATCTTGAGGGAGAAAAGAGATGGCACTTCAGCAATGAGGAGGACGGTTTAAGCAAAATTCAAATATTAGGTTATATTTTGTGCACAGAAAGTTTTCTCATATTTTCAAAAATAAGTTCATATTCAAATTTTAGGTTTGTTGGCTTGTAATGTTTGTTCTGATTTGGCTGATCATTTAAGGACAAAATGCACAAGTAAACTTCTCAAAAGCTATACCTTATATACATATAGTTGGTACATTATCCTTATATTCAATCTTTTAACCTGGTTACAGTTTGGTTTTTATACTAAAACTTCAAGTATTGTTTTTTCTTTTTTACACCCAAACCGTAAATGTTAGATTGCACTTTATAGTTAGACACATGCTGAGCTGTATGACCAAGACAAAGCAACACGTTTCGCTTCAGAGATTAAAGGTTTCACCTTTGTGAATATAGAATGAGTCAGTGTAATTACATACATTACACGTTTAAAAAGAGGATGAAAATCTCCTTGAATACATACTTTTTCACTGACAAGCTGCCCTCCTAGCTACACAGTGCCAGTGCCACCTAGAGGTGGGGTCAGTGAGGGTCAAAGTACTGAAGTACCAGCGATGAGAGAACACGGTGCCAATACGGAGTCACGTATGAGTTCCTCATCGCGTGCCTATAAATGAGCTAATGCATATGAAAGAATGTGTTTCTTACTATTTTTAATTACGGATGCTTTCCAATAGCCAAAGGTGTTTTAGCTCTGTGGCCCATGTGTTGTGAAGCTGGTTCAACTGCATCGGTGACCTGCCTAAACTGAACCTTGTCGTCAATCATTTCATCGCACGTGTGTTTCATTATCCGACCGCATTCAGGGATGGTAACGCCACTCTTGTTGCAGTGACATGTGGCATTTCTGAGTGGTGGCTCGGTTTAGGGAAACTGACTTCTAAGCGGTAACATGCCACTTGTGTTCTAAAGTCAGGAGGCATGACATTAAACAATCTGAACCACGTCACTTAAGAGGCCCAGGCCTTCCACTCTAAACGGCTGATTTCAGGGAGTTCAGGCAACTGGTAATAGCGAAGACTCAATAGAAAAAACCTTTTTACTCTCAGATTAATGGTATAGATTTACCACAACATGTGAATTGAGTGTTGGATCATCTTTTTGCTACGTCTCAGTGCACTCAGGGTTATCAGTATGCATGTAGTAGTCTCATCTCTCCTTTCACAGTTCCACATGCAATGAAAACCTTGTGGCGTGCACCTTTTTCATGACCAGCAAGTCACAGTATGCGTCAGCGGAGAAGAATTTTGATCAGAGTGGTATATCTGCTTACATCTCTGCGTTTCAAACGGCCAATAGATTGCTGATGAAATGAGCTAAACTGTTTGTATTTGTGTTTGTGTCCCTCAAGGTGGAACTTTATCCTGCTCCTGTCAGTATGCTCAGCAGTACTCTCTGGAGAAGAAGACTACCTCGCTCAAGGTAAACAACAGAACCCGAATGCGTAACTAAACATTACCATTAAGATTATCTCTTCCACTCTTTTGTTGTTGTTGTGACATGTGAATGACTCTTTCTGACTCTGGATCATTCAGCCACATCTACTGTTAGTTTTCAGAACTTCATTCAGCTTTTGAGGTTTCTGCAAATGAGGATGCAAGCCCTTCTGTTCTACTTCTCAGAAATGCTCTTATTGTTAATAACCCCAGCAAAGACATCCACGCTGTGAATGCCATATGTCTTCAGTTTGTAGTTGTACAGTTTCAGTACAGTGATTGTCACTACATGTGAAATGACTATTTTGGGGTCTGATATCATCCAAAACATTGTTGGCTCATATGATTTTCTATAAAAGCCTCCGACATTTTTCAATGTACGTTTACTTCAATGCAAAAACTATTTTCAGAATAAGTTATTTGAGTTAGCAGTTAAATTGTTTTTTAATGGCGTATCACTGGGCCACTGCCAGAAAAAGGCCTACCACATGTTTTATATACACTTAACACAAGGTTGACCTATCAATGAATCCTTAATACTCCTCGCCTCACACACTGTGTGCATTGCTTATCCTTCTTGCAGAGAGGAAACCAACTGCCTCATGAATCCCTCCCCTTATTTCATCATTGTCATTATTCCGCTCCAAGCATGATCAGTCTGTCATAACGAGGGGAGGAGGAATGCACACCGAGTGTTAGAGCAGCTTGTCTTCATATATGAGACAGGTTAATTGGAATCTTGGCTGACTTTACCTCGGGCTAAGAATGTCAACGAGATTTCAGTGCATGCTTAGATCATCTGCAGGTAGACAGTCTCTCTACCGGCGCTGCACGACTATAAACCCTGCAAAACAACATCCAGGAGGATGTGCAGTATTGTCCCTCTTTATCCAAAGCGTATCTATAACAGCAACAAGACTAGTGAACTGAACTGTCCTTCAAAAAGTACTTCTACCCCTAATAGCTGTACAGTATGAATCTGATAAGGTGTTTTCTTCACTTCAACACAGACGTCATGTTGCGTTTGTGAGTGTATGCACGTGTATGTGTGTCTGCTGCCGTGACACCGCTATCCCCGATCTGTCAAACCATCGTGCAACACTATTTCAACATATAAATATGACAGAAAATATGCTTTCATTCATTCTGCATTCTTGTTCAGGCTTTCCTTATATTAGTAGTTTGTTCAAACAGTGCTTCTTTTGTTATTTCTGATGTCATGTTATATCTTTTATATATTATACAATGTTTTGGTAACAGGTATTTTTAGGTGTATTAGGTTCCCCTTCAGTAATTAAAAAACAACAACAACTAAACCCTTTTAAAGGTTGGTCCCCAAATACAGAAGAGGAGTTGCTTCAAAGCTGGATTTCTGGATTACAGTTGATAATAACTAAAGTTGTCCTTGAGATCTCCCCACCAAAACACTTGGTTGCACTCATGCATACATGCATCTGGTTGCAAAAACAAAACGGCTTTGCAAGCTTCCCTGTTCTCAGGCTTCCATATCGGTTCTTCCTCAGTCAGGGAGCACGCTGACAAATGAACACACTCACATTTTACTGTGAACATAAACACAAACACACAGTTCTAAACCCATTCGGGATTCACTTGATGTTTCCATTAGTGTGTGACATAAACACCACACACAACATGCTCTGTCTCCAGATAATAATAATAACATCTGTTACCTGTGGGCACGGGAAAATAATGACAAGACTATTTGGAAGAATACGGATCTTAGGAATTTCTGGCGGCGGATGGATTCAAAAGGGCTGTGTGGAGGGGTTTCCTTTTTGTTTTAGTTCCGCCCCATCCTCCTTTAGTCCCTTCCGCTCATCTGGGCCACAGCTGCCTTTCTGCTGACTACTCCAGGGTTAGGGTTAGTGGGAGGCGTCACCAGCATCATAGGCAGACCAGTGACCACAGACTTGTTTATTTTTACTTGAAGAAGGACAGTTATTAAACCTTTTATGAACAAGGAGAATTGCCACAATATCTACGGATATCATGTGATGCGTGCCTTTTGAAGTCGACAGATCGCTGCACTGTTTACACAAATTGCTGTCTTGTAATTGCAAGTCCTGACGTCGTTGTTGTTTAACGCTACATAACTAACCGGAGACAGGCAGTCACAAACCACAATCTTTCATCGGGAGGAATCCCAAAGGAAGACTCAAATTATTTCACCATGAACACACACGCGAGGTGATGCTGACTTCGCATTGCTTGTTGGTGTTGGCACGCACATCCACTTATTAGCCTGTGCCAGCACTTACTAAATGTTCCCCGATGTGGATCCGTCCCGGTTTTAATTTCTACGTTCAGTCATGTTAACATCGAAACACCCGAGGTACAACATTAACTGCAGCACACACATAAAGTGGCTATTGTTACAGGCACCCCCCCCATGTCGGGTTTCCCCTCATCGTCGGCCTCGGCTCCCCGGATGAGGTATTTAGTATTGTGGATATCTGGAATGCGTCTGCCTCTTGGCTCGCGTCACTAAACAGTTAACACATAGCGCTTGCGAGCCGACGTGTGACTTCCCTGGAAACATGGATTTCGTCAGTGAGTGGAAAATCAGGGATAAAGTTTTGGGAGAAATTGCTTTTATTAAATAGAAACAGAGGCATTGTACTTTACATAGCCATGGAATTATGTTGCCCTGTGTAACTACAATATGCTGAATCAGGCTATATACTTGTTCAGCCTAATTCAGATGTATTTGTATTTTTTAGTTTCTAATCTTAAATGCTACACGGTTCATCATCAGCATTGTTAAAATATTATGAATGGAAAAAAAGTCTATAAATTAAATTATCACTAGTATTTATTTGAAAAGTTCTGTTTTGTGGTTCCAGAAATTGATAGTTAAACAGCCTGGTGAAATAAGAGAATTGATTGATGATAGTGGAAAGAGAAAGTGGATGCATCTTCCCCAGGAGTGCTCAAAGTGGGCTCTTCATGGAGTGTTGCTGCTGAGCTACCTGTCTTCATATTGGTTTCTTGTAATATTATTGATATTCTGGGTTGTTATAGCTCTGTTACCCTCTATTAAGACAACCTTTAAAAAACTTTAATCCATAACGGTTTAAACTTGCTTTGTTGAGTTTATCTTAAAATAAATTGTAAATGTTTTTTTAAAAAGTGAGTGCCTTAAGTGAAGTCCATGACTAGTTTAGTACCTAAAACTATTTTTAATCCTGTTTGTTATCCTGACATTTACCATTGTCCCTTCTGTCCTCCAGGTGTGGACATCCTCTATCGACTGGGGCTTTCAGCTCGAGGCAGCACGGACAAGAGGACAAGCCCACCTTCGATCACTTACACCACTGTTGCCTCACCTTTCAATCTCCCTGTTTCTGGACATGGGGTAGTATTGGACTCAAACTTCCTCTACGAGGCTCCGGCAGGCAGTCTTTTTCCACCTGAGATCGGCGAGGAGTTCTCTGTCGTGGTGAGCCTCAGCTCCTGGCGATCGAACAACGCTTTCCTTTTTAGCGTCAAGGACAGCAGGGACCGGCTGCGTTTCGGCATCCAGCTGCTGCCCCGCAGGGTGGTGGTGTACACCGCAGAGGAGGCCTCCATCTACTTCGCCTACGACTGGCAGGATGGGCGCCAGCACCCTTTCGCTGTTGGTGTTCGAGCGCACTCGGTGTCGTTCTACGCCGAATGTGGAGCCGTGCAGCAGCGGGAGCAGACCCTGAGGAGATCTCACACACTGGCAGATTCCGGGGGTCTCTTCACTCTGGGCAGGATGAACTCCAAAGCGGCGGCATTCGATGGTCGAGTCTGCCAGCTGAATATCCATCCCTCTGCCAAAGTTGCCGCGCACTACTGCGACTACCTTAAAGCACCGTGTCGGCTGGCCGACACTAACCGATTGCCTTTGCCGCTGCTCCCGACTTTGGATACCGAGGCAAATGAGCCTCCGTCGAACCCTTCGACAAAGCCCCTTGTTGGAGTAGCAGCTGCCCGTCGTGCTCTCTCTAAGGCTACAGCAGCTCTCAAAGTGTCCCCAGGTAATTTGGTCACGCAGCATTCAACACTAAGCCCATCAGTACGAACTTACGTTTCCAAATCGGATCCCCTTGCTCACTCCACCCCGTCTTGGCTTCAGCGCGACAGCCCTACCGCAGCCACCCTGAGCGCACAAGCAGCCTTGGATCCCACACATAGCACAACTATCGCCACTAGCCAAGGTGGCCAAGGTGGCGATAGTGATTACTCTGAAAACAGCACAGAAGAAGGCAACAGCTCTGGGAGCCTGCAGTCTCCAGATGTCCCCCCAGGACGGATTTCCCCAGACGAGCAAAGTTGGGTGAAGGAAGGACTCAGGAACAGCACCGCCAACGGCTCCAGCGACTCTCGCTCTGGGCCTCAACCGGCTAGTCGGCTTCTGGAGACTCACCTGAGAGCCAACAGCACCACTTTGTACCGGGAGAATCAGGTGGACACCTCAGAACGACATGACGCGGACGGCAGCTATGAGGATGTAGACCTGGGAGGATATGATTATGGGTATGAAGATACAGACTATTTCTACAACTACGACGACGGTTTCCATGGCCCCAAAGGAGAGCCTGGTTTTCCGGTAAGTCATTTACGAATGACAAGAAGACCTGTTGGTGTTTATGGAAAATGAATCAAAGCCTTCAGACACAAGTCTGTACAATGCTAGAATGGAACAAAAGCCATACAAGACAATCAAGGGGAATTTATGGCCAACACACACATACACCTAGTATATATGGAAATACATTTTGGCAGGGAGGCGCAGTGATTTATGGGTGATGGAATCTCCGAGCTCTGATCTCCTTTCATGTATCTACAAGTTGTTAAAATAACACGTCATTCCCTTGCTGGGATACTGGCAGCCACTTTTCTCTCGTGTTCGGATAGCTTGTCTGAAGGTTGGAGGTAAACCCTGGCTAGGAAGATTCGCTGTCCATCTAGCCTCGTGATGTAGGCCGGCTGTCAGGATGCTTTTGCCCCTGGACATGCTTTTATAGCTCAAGTATCGCCTAAGTTTCCATGAATGAGATGTGTCGGGACTTTCTATCCGAATCTGTTTGAACTTAGGAGTTTGTGTAATGATGTAAGACGTCTGGACTCATTCCCCAGTTTCCATATTCAGCGCCTGAAGGTCTGTAGGTGCGACACCGCTCTGCCGTGACTGAGCTGTTGCAACATATCTTCATGTCTCAGAGCATGAGAACACTGTACTGCAGTATTATCAGCTTCCCAGCTAAGATACTGTCAGTCATGGACCTTTTTACTGTCGGTCACAATTTGGAATTCATATTTAATGAAAACATTCTTTGTCTGCCTATGTCTTGGCTAATTTAAACACTTTGTTGCTGGCAGGTTTTGAGCGCGGGGTCACCTACAGGTCGGTGGCTCGCCGTGTCATTGGCTCTTTGTCTGAAAAAGCACATTTTGCAATGTGCACGTTGAAAACGTGTGTGTATTTGATAACCCTATTTTGAGCTTAGCAGTATTTTTTCGCCACAGCTAATTTGTTATTTTGTTTGACAAATGATTTGTTTGCTATTATTTGGATCATGTTTGACAATACACCTGATCATAACAGTGATCAACAATCTAATGTTGATTATGGGTAAGTGTGGAAATGTAGATTTTAGTCAGTCTTCATGTTATCCATTTCCGTACTGAGTTACATGGTCTGTTATTGGGCTCAGCAGACAGCTTGTGTTTTACCACATGTTGCGTTACAATGGAGGGGCGATGCAGCTCAAGTTACACACAATGCAACAAGTTCAAGAAATCATTTGTTTTATCTTTCGGCCTCACTTTAACTGGACTTCTTGAATTGAATCCATTGCTGAAAATTGTCCCTTGTCCTGGCAGCACGCCTGAAGGACGCGAACTTACCTCTCTTTCTTTCCCGTTGTTGTGGCGTAGTTGTGTGATCTCAGTTTCCATGTGTCTGTGTGTGGGAGTTGTGAAGAACAAACAGCTGTCTCTTCATTCATGTCTCCCTCGGCGTCAATCTGCTCTGACAATGGTTACGCATGCCGCAGAGCACCCTGTCATGATCTCTTATAGCAACAAGAAAAGAGAAACATAAATAATAGTAAATACAATTATACAATGTCTGTTTTTCTATCCGTTTGCAGCGATCCGGTACACTTTTCAAATATTCAAATAGTGAAGCTTTAGAACTGCAGATTAGAACTGACACACTTTTCATTGACTAGCAGCATGAGTAGATCATGGAATATCCACTGGCAGTGTTTACATGTCACAATGATGGCAACCATCCTATGGCCTTTAAAAATGTGGATCTGCAATAAGTAATTTGTCATTTATTCTCACACCTTTCAGCAATATGAAAACGAAATATAACAAGTACACTCAACGGCTCGAGTGGAGCTTCAGCCTTATTTGGTTGTTAAACACAAACCCCAACATCAACTTCCAGCCCCCTTTGGAGTGGAGAAGATTAAGGGTTAGATACGCATCTATCTACTACTACTAACGCCCCAAACTACTGTGTATGGGTGTATGAAGACCATAAGTGATATACGAGTGAAATTGATATAAGACGTTGAGTGGTGTCTGTCTCACGTGACTGAACTTGACCCTTCTGTTCAGAGATTCCCAATAGCTTTTAGTTGGACACACTTGTTGCCTGTCTTTGAACTTCCTTGCTCTCTTTCATAAATATAGCACATACTCATCGTTGCAGGGCCGAGACAGTGAACTGCATGTTATTGCTTGCCATTAACGTGCTCTCACCTCCCCTTTACTCCCTCTCTCTCTCTCTCTCTCTCTCTCCAACATTACCTTCTTTCTTCCCCTGTCCCTCTGTCTCTCTGATTTAGGGTCCTGTTGGTCCGCCTGGTTCACCCGGCCCTCCAGGAAAGAGAGGCTCTCAGGTGAGTAACCCACGCAAAGGGGGGTGGTACACAGGAGAACACTTTAAATGAATTTTTCTCTATTCATCAGTCTGACCATCTCACTCTCTCTTTTTTCACTACACATTTGTAGTTTTAGTACTTTTATCTCTCGTGCATTCTTTTCTTTGCATTGCGGGCCAAACGATGCCCCTTAGCTGTGATACAATAACAACATACCACAGCCTGTTGTGAGCTATTGTGAGCTTTGATAAAAATAGATTAATAATAATAAATCAATAAAATTCACAAGAAGATTAATGCATGATCTGATTATTTGAATCTCTATTCGTATAATCTGCTTGTTGCCCTTGGTAGTGCGATGGAACGCATAAGGGGGATGGGGCAATGCAACATTTAGAGACGGCCTGAACATGTTTTTTGCCGTCAATTTGAAGCTGATCCTCGATTGCGGCATTTTCCCTTTGCTTCTTTTCCGTTCATAGCGAGGTTACAGAGTAAGGCGAGGGATTTCACTTGTGGGGGCATGGTGCTCCTTGACACAGAGGAGCACGTTGCTCATCAGATGGTTTGTGGTACCCACAGACAGGATACTACATTTTTGGAGAAAGGATCAATGCAACTTTTATTTTACCTTTTGCCACAATGGTCGCATGGTTAACTGTAGAAATACAGCGTTTCAGAGTGTTAAAACAGCAAGAGTTGAAGCTGGTTCGATTTTTTGAGAGGACCCCCCTTCTCTGGCATCCCTTCGACGGGCTCCATCCAAACTCAAATGATTCTGAATTCTTATTTTTAGGACAGGCAGACCAGAAGGCAGATGGACAGGAAGCTGGTGGTCAGAGTCAGGTGGCAGATAGTAAAACATGTCTACCAGTAAAGAGAGCGGATACAGAGCGTACTCTTTACTTCTTCGACTAGCTCACGGAGTGGAGACGGAGGGAGGCTTGGAATCATTATGTGGTGGGAAGCTGAGGGCAGTGTTTGGTACTGTGGTTTTGTATTTGCCGTCTCGGCACAGATCAGCAGACTTTTTTAGTTTCCCAGCGTTATCAGACGATGAGTCTATGATCCAGGGTATGCCGTTTGGTCTGGGCAGTCGTCGTGGAAACACATTTTAATAACAAATTAAACTTAAGAGGTTCTTCTTTTTTTCACAACAATCTTTGAAGACATTTGAAGTTTTCAGTAGGAGATTGATACAGTGATCGAGTACTCATGAAGGACTCTAGTGAGTTTTTAACGGCTGTTTGGCAACCTTTTTTATTACATCATACATATATATATTTTGAAATCCTTTTCGAAAGTCATGTGCAAAAATATTCTGTAGGTTTTTACCCTTTTTACTGACACCAAACAATGACTTCAAGACTTTACTTTCTTTATATCAGATTTTCTTTGGGCAACATGGTCTTGTGAAAACTAATGAGATGAGACTTTTGATGAAAAATATCCTAACTTTGAGTTTTATAGCAAAGTTAGAGCATCCAGTAGACTGCATGACTCATTAATGAAAGTTTTTCTAAATGTATGTTCTTGGAATTTCATAAACGTGGTGTCTGTGTTGACATTCTCCTATATCAAGGATTTATTAGAGTTCTAACGTAAACACTTCGACTGCTAAACTCTGAGCACAATTCCATTGTTTTCACTTAAGCAGAAATACTAAATAGATCGAACAGGGTCGACATTTTTAGGATTTCCAACGTAAAACAATATTTTGGAGATAATCTTCACAAATTGACAGCCATAGAAAATAATAAAAAGAAGAGAGCCTGCTTCCTGAATCTGTTGTGCAGAGAAAGCGTGGTCTTCCAGCAGCAGGATAACAGATGTGCAGGAATGTAGTGCGCGTGTGCGTGTGTGTGTGTGTGTGTGTGTGTGTGTATGGGTGTGCACACACACGCACAAGGCACAAGTGTGCACGTGTGGTTGTGCATTCATTGCATACCTGTGATGTTCAAGGAATTTTGTCCGCTGATAGACGTGGAGGTGGAAGTGGAGCTTCCATAAAAAAGCTGCTGGCAATAATGAGAATTGAGCGTTTTATGAAAGAGTATTCACTTATTCCAGTGGCACTAGTTTATCTGTCTATAGTTCACATTGCTCGACATTTAGCTGTCTTGTTACATAAAAAATATAAATAAAATATTTAAAACAGTTTTAAGATAACACTAAGAATATGTTCAATCCAACTGTATTTTGGAACGTACAGTTTTCTGCACATTGTGCAAAACTGTTGGGTCAGTGTGCAAAGTGAAGAAAATATGTGCAATGCAACAAGGGGTTAGTGAGCGGGATACGCCTCCTCTCCTCACATCTCAGTCCTGCCAAAGGGAGATGGGAGTAAAGGAGGCGAGGAAGAGACGTCAGTTGAGGATACAAAAAGAATATCCTGAATAGCTGCGTCCGTTTAATATAATAAAATAGTACAGATTGCAAAATAGTATTTATTGATAGCACATGTTGTCATTTACAACGGTTTACTTTTGTAAACATTAATATTAAGAATTCAAATGATAACAAAAAAAAAGTAAAGTCAAAGGGAAATGTCATTTAAGGAATTCGATTCGAACAGCACATCCAAGAACGCTGAACACACCTCGCTCACGTTGGTGTAACGCCTCGTTACGGGCTCAGAGCTTAAACGAACATTTAATCATCTCGAATACAACTTGTTTTAGAGGATCTTCAGGAACACAATCCTTGCCACTGAGATACATTTTATTACTTTCAGTTGGAGCGAGATCAAATTACTGGGCACGAGCCAGAGGAAGAAATCAATACTGAGCTGTTGCTTTCAACAATGCACCGGTCATCTAACTGTGTGCGCTCTCTCTCTCTCTCTCTCTCTCTCTCTCTCTCTCTCTCTCTCTCTCTCTCTCTCTCTCTCTCTCTCTCTCTCTGCTTGTGCTCCAGGGTCCCACCGGTCCACACGGAAGCCCAGGACAGCCTGGACCACCTGGGCCAAAGGTGAGTGACCTTCTCGCATGGTAGATGGTAGGGACACACAAACAGTCGAATTTGGCAGAACAGGCTCTGCGGTTTGAGGGAGCTATATCCCCCATAAGGATGTCAGACATCAGCAACAAACCGTGGTTTAATCGAAGCTAGGCATTTAACAGATAAGGAAACAAATGGGGTTGTGGAGGGAGCTGCTTTATTTAATTGTTTGTGACTCGTTCCTCACAGAGAAGTTCAGCGTCCAAACTTAAAAGGTTAAAGGTTAAAGATATGGTCACAATGAAATGCACACTTGATTAAATGTGCAATCAAGCTCCAGGGAAAGGATATTCTACACACACGATATTTTATTTTAAAATGCATTTTATGTATGTTGTATGAATGCTCCTAATGATTACATTTCATTTTATTTAGCTTACTCTTTTACCCAAAGCCACTTATAAGTGCAATAAGTGCATTAACCATGAGGGTGATGATGTATGAGGCTTGTGTAGAGCTAAGACATTTACAATTTGAGAAAAATTAAGAATACTCAACATAGAAGAGGATGATAATTAATAATAAGATGGCCATTAATGTGAATTAGTTCTAAAAAGAAATCGAAACAAATATGCAATAATGCATATCGAAAATGACGGAAAGTTAGTGGTAATTTTAGAGGACAGTACAATTAAGATTATCACAAGTAATCAAAGGATGTTGTATCTAGCATGATGATCTAGCAAGTCTCTTTACTAAGGACACAGGATTTCTCATAATATCTGTTTTTCCCCCCAAAAAAGGACTTTTTATATTATTTATATTCTCCATGAAAAACATGGAAGACTCCAGGAATATACTCAGTTAATTGTAGCTATTGGGACCTTTTGCAAAACTCACTATTGTGTGTTATTGCTTTAGTTAACGAAACTGACTTCATACGCGAACAAAACGAAATGAAATAAGCCTTTTTAAATCAAAGATTTTCCCAGCAGTGGACCAGATGTAAAACGCACTTACAACTGAGCAAGGATGTGCGCGGCTTCATGTTGATGGTTGTTGTAAACTTGATCCCAACTGGTGACCACGGAGTGGTTGCATCCTGCATGGCCTCAGTGAGGGAACGGTCCTGCTACAGAAGAAACAAGTGAAACACCGCAAACACATGAAGAGAGGAATGTTCTGTTGTTCTCGCCTTGATTAGTCAAGCAGCACAACAACATTGATGCGTTGGTCCTCCATCACCTCGCTGGAACGCGGCGTGCTCCCCCGTGGGCGTCTGATGGTTGGACAACGCAGCCACCTGGTTGCTCAGAGGTTCCTTTAGCTCGTAGACCCACGTTTGTTTGTATGAATGGAATTTGCCGTATCTAATACCGTAGTGACCCGTCAGTGAGTCATCCTCACATCTCCAGTCCCAACGTGGAGGCGGAGTAGATGAGAGGTTCTTTGTCTCTGTTTGGAAAAACATCTCTTGTTGAAGTGTGTTTGGTTACTACGGCAAACAGGACTAATACAAAGACGTATAGTCACTGAAGCTGAGCGTGGTGGAAATGAGCTTGTAGAACTTTAGTTACTTCATGCACTGTTGACTTTTTCAAACTGATTGAAACCCAGGTATTATGTTTTGGCAGAACCTCTGCTCCCCCCAAGTGTTTCACTGGCTGTGAGTCAAAACTGTGCAAACACGATGCTCCAAATCTACTGAGGAAGATGTACGTATTTAAGGTGTCAAACGGTGGTGCAGCGCGCATACCAGGACCAGCTGGACTTTTTTATAATCAGAAAGTCCATACTGCTGTAAAAATGACATTCTGAACAATCAAAGACGATGTTATAGTGTATAGAGTAACACTTTTGTTTCATTACTTTGCAAAACCCATTTTTATTGTTTTTCACTTGTGTTTTAAATCCGTATGTATATTTTCCTGTTTTGGCCGTAGTTGTAGGGTGTTGAGGCAGTTTGATTTGTGTGTTTTCAGAGTAATGTGTGGGCGTAGCCGTGTGGTCGCTCAACAGAGACAAGTCGGTGTTCAAAGAGCAGACAGTTGATCCGATTGTAGGTTTGATAGTTCAGTTTTCCATGTAGGTTTCAGTTTGTGCATCAATCAGTTTTATGGTTCCTCAAAGCCAATATTTGAGTATCTGGACATGTTCATAAATTCTCTTAGGAAGATCTGGTCTGTTCATCAAAACATTTCACAGAAACTTTTTAGATAAGTTATCTAAAAAAAGCATGATTACATTTTATTCAATTAAAGCATTTATCAAACTTTGCTTAAAGATGAGATATGCCAGCTGTTTGATAAAAGCCACATGTGGCTTTGACGGTGAAGTGCACATTTAGCTATTGTTTATTCCCCTCAGGCTAAAAATACAGAGAAATTATTTTTTACTGTTAAGTAAATGTGATGAAATTATGAGAACGATGTGAACTGTCTGGAGACGTCTGCTTTGTGACCTCTGTAGATTCAGCTCTTATTCTAAGAAGTCTTACAATAAAACATATTGTATAACCTTAACCTCATCTTTGGGAAGAAAGGGCTTTTGAAAGGTAACATTGCTGTTCTGTGGAAATGCACTTAACGTCAGCTTTAATCCGGCACAGTCTTAAGCTTGTCTTCTGCTTTGTGAGAAAGACACATGCGGTCGGAGAAGGCACAGAAACTGAGTGAGGTCGTGAGTCTCAAAGTCATTTGTACTTCATTACTTGGTTTTACATGCATAGTCACAGTACAGGAATGTGGATTTGCACATTTAAGTATTAAAGTAAAATGGCCCTTTTGAAGCTATTCAGAAAGGGACTGACACTCCTATAAACTAAAGAGAAGTATAGGCAAGATCTGTCCTGGTTGTTTTTGAATTTTGTTAGACTTTAAAAGTCACTTTAAATGGTCAAGATACTTAAATCAAGCATCCTCGCCATGCACTGATATCAGTAAAGTGGGTATTTTACTTTCATGGTTGATTGAAAAAGGTTTACAGACATTTTGTTTATTTTAGCTGTTTTTCAGCCACAATACCCTAAATTGAACACCGATGTAGTTAGTGTACATCCCAGCTATCCACTTAACCTCCTCACATGCCTTTTTTTTACAAATCTATTTATGGAAAGGTTTGGGTTCTTATAACATTGACTTCAATAAATGTACTATTTGTACATATATATATATATATATATATATATATATATATATATATATATATATATATATATATATATATATATATTTGTGTATATGTACTAACATTAAAGGCGCTGCATCTTCAGAAATGACTGAATAAGTATAAATAAAAGTATAAATTAAATTTTTAGTTTGTTTTAAAAACCACCATGGTTTGTAAAATCCGGTATTGTCGAAAATTGAAGACATTTTCATTGTTGTGAGCCTGTTTCTTTCCTAGGGCTCAAAGGGAGACCCGGGGGTGTCTCCAGGCCAGGCTCCACCAGGAGACAAGGTGAGGAACGTCCCCCCGGCCTCTGAGGCTTGTAGCCATTTCACAGTGGCTCTTGGCTAGAGGCTTGTTTTTTGAATTTCATCTCATTAACTATTTTCTATTTCTCTTATGCAAATCCTTATCCTTATGATACTTATGCAAATCTATCCTGATGTCTTCCCAAAACATATTAAAGTGCTCTAATCACTTTAAAATGAGTCCTTCACGCCAACCTGCTGTGACCCCTGACCCCAAGCATATCATTTAATGGTGGGCAGGGGCCACCTGACTAGACGTGAGAACTAGACTAGACTAGAAAAGCACAATTCAAGTAGAAGTCAATTTACCATTAACTTTCATCAGCTATTGGCTTTTCCTCTCTCCTTTGGCTTGTCTATCTTTATTAACATTAATCCAATCTCTTTTGACCTAGTCACCTCACATCTCATCCAATTTTCCAGAATAGAAGAATATTGCTCAGAATGTTTTTATTGGAAGCAGCATGGATAATATATTTAACATTGACGCTCCAGGAACAATAAAGCCCTTTTTAATCGTCCGTCTCAATCACCTGTGGAAAATCCACCATTTATCCCTTTTTGCCAAAGACAAACTTAAATGAATTGTCTTTGGAACCATTGCCCTGTTGTTCATCAGTCATCTGTTTATGCTAGAAAATTAAGATTCATAATATGTTATAAAAATGTCTTTACAATATCATCTCTCCCATTCCTTTTCAAGTGTTCTCTGTTTGTAATTCGTACCAACAGGGGGAAAGGGGTTCACCAGGGCTGCCCGGGCTTGATGGATTTCCAGGTCCTACGGTAAGATTTAGTTTCTCCTTCCTTTGTTTAAGGCAGCAGCTGACGCTGAAGATAGAGGAAGGCTCAATGACAGGGTGACAGTCTTTTTTTATTTTTTTAACACTACTTTGGCATTATTGCGAGGCAATAAACGCTGATTGATGCTATGTTTTTTGTTTTTGTAGTGTTATTGAGAAACTTTTTAAAGATGTGAACTTCTTATTATTACATTTTTTTTCCCAAGCCCTTTAGGATTGCTACTTATATTTGAATTTTAAGCATGTCATTAGTTAATACGAGGCAGAGGTTGGTTTAAGAGGAAGTTCAAGGGTTAAGATCATGCATTCAAACACAAACGCACTTTGCTTATCTGAACACACACACACACACACACACACACACACACACACACACACTGTATGCGTGTTTCCACTGTGCTCTCCACAGACGTTAGCTGAGGCCTCTTGTGGTCTAATGGATCAGTATTAGGTTACCTTTTCAGAGACATTCTACAGCCCTGTAGAATGCTCTCAGCCTGTCTTCATTCTTTTTATCTCAACAACCCCTCCCCACACCAAAAAACAATAACCTTTTCTTGCTTACTTTAGTTTTTTACTTCACAACGTAGCATACGCCTGTCTTTGCATGTATCTCTGTGTCGCTGTCCCTCTCCCTCAGAACTGGCTGTGAAGATGTGCTGCTGCCACGCATAGGCTTTGAGGTCAAGGTCAAAAGCACACTGCCCTGAGTTAGGAGGTCAATGACACGTACAATAGGGAGGATTTCAGGGATGCTGCTATCAATTAAAAAAAGGTCACTAGCATTCTTCCTTTATCCATCAGCGTGCACATGTTCACAGGCAAACTCCTGATTTGAGCTTGTCGCTTTACCGAACAGACCTAATCTGTTCCAGTAGATCGCACTGCTGCTACAGCTACACAGCTATTGCTGCACAGTGGCCATAGTTGCCTCTTATTGAAGCTTTGAGTCTTGTCTCCACATACCTGGCCTCGTCCTTTCCTCCCAGGAGGCCATCTCAGTGTTTGCAGGAGCTGAACCTAATATGCCCAGCTCATGAACTGTGCCCTCTCAAGTATTTCCAGAGGAAATGAATGGCTCGGGTCCTGTGCTGTTTACTAGGAGTCGGCCTGTGACAGAGTGTGAAGGGTTCATGTGTCACAACCTTGAAAGCACACAACGGAGTCAGTGGTACTGTTCAAGAAGGTCTCTTGATTCCCCCAAAAGATAATGACCTGACTATGACCTTGTATTTTTGGGACTGTTATCTGTTGTCAAGTCAAATGGGAAAATAAAGGGCTTGAGAGACGCTGAGCTTGGATTTACCAAACAATAAATCTTGTTTAGTTCATGAAGAAGCACATCAGTGACTGCAGCTTCTTTTGAGGTTTTAACCTTTTTAACCTCAACCACACTGTACTATGCAACCATTCAGAACCTAGAATTGCTCATGGACTGGTTCCGTGAAACACACATCACCAAACAGGTAAATAGGACATTATATATCAAAACAGATTTATTCTGTTTTCACCAATTCCATCTGATGTACACACATTCCTACACCCCCATTTCCTCTGACTGTATTTCCTGTATAGTCTCTGTCCAGCAATAACAGCAAGTTCCAGCCATATGGGATTTTAACACTGACCATGTAACACTTTTTAAATTGCAGCCTTGCATGCGTGTAAAGATCTATAACTGTGACCTTTGACCTTTAGAGTGGTACCAAAAGTATCGATGCAGGTAAAAGCCTATTCCTATATCTGATAAGAAGCCTTGGGTCTCTCAATCCAGGATACTTGCAAGCAACACATGCAAATAATTAAGAGGTCTAAAGAGCTGTATTGAGATGTGCAATAAGAAAAACTATCCCATAACTTAGTTTCTCTTTTAAATCATGCACTAAATGTCTCCTTGAATCATTTTTAAAATTCTCCTGTTTGTTCCTGTTTTCTACATTACTAACAATGCTAGTGCTAACTTGATGACTTGTGTATTTAGCTCAGCTGTGTAGCATTTAGCCTCATAGAGTCACTGCATAACAAGACTTGGCTTGTAAATGTCTCTGGTGTTTTCGGGTGAAATCTACTTAAAATACGCTTCTTTTATTACATTTTCAAGGGTCCTAAAGGTTATCCAGGGTCAGCCGGACTGGCAGGAGAACAAGTAAGTTGTGATGTGGTCATTTGCATGCATGTGTGTGTAAAAGAGTTGTATTATGCCTCAATCACCGTCAACAGCCGTGGCTGTGGTCCAAATCCAAGCACCTGGTAACATCAACAACAATTTCAAACCGTTACATATTTATGTAAGTTAGTTAAATGTTTAAATAATTGAAATGCAAAGCTTCCTTCAAACACTTAGTGGGTAAAGTGAGGTGAGTGAGGCCGGGAGTACGGAGTGGGTTTGAGGGCTAAAGAAAAGCAAAATGTTAATAGTCAGCTTTGTCTTGTTGGAGGCCGTCCGGAATGAACAGTGCTTGTTTTATTCCTCAGTTGGCAAAGCTGGTAGAGGTCCGTGTGTCTCCTCTTTCACTTTATCCATCCATCTAATCTCCCTATTCACGTTCATTCATTTCTCTCTCTCTTCCTCTTCTTCTATGGTGCAGGGCATTCCAGGGATTGCAGGAGAAGCCGGTGCTGCAGGTTACCCTGGCAGGCAGGTGCAGTGAAAAATACAAAAATAAGCTCCCAGTTCCTTCATTGAAACTCGTACATTATGTTTTGCTCCTACAAGAAAATACACAGCAATAATAATGATAACTTCTTTCTGCTCCTCATTGCATGTCTTCTTCGCCTTTTAAATTAGGAATTAAGCGGCAACACACTGCTTTTTACCCAACAGTGTATTGGAAAATGTAGTTTACTAAGAAGGTTATTAATCAGTGCAATTTGTAATTTCATGTTTGCATGTTTTATCTGTCTTTCGGGCCATTTAGTCAGATTTTTCTCCCACCACCTGAAATCACTCACCTCACCTGAGTCCTTCCTTTTTCGCAGGGCTTAGCCGGGCCACAAGGTTACCCGGGACCTAAAGGAATCAATGTAAGTGCAATTGTCTCTTACACTGATTCTGCCCTCTTTTCTGTAGCAGCGCTGGACGGAACATTCAATTTCCTGAAGGGATTAGGACAGTGTCGGGCAAACAGACGCGTTCCAGAGAGACTGCTCTGAACCGGCAATGTGCTTCTGACACACACACACATACACACACACACACACACACACACACACACACACTGGCTGCTTGTGGGGCAGTTCTAGACACTGGGTTGTCTCTGTAATGAATGATTTATTCATCTTACTTTGGTTATTTTTTGGGTTAAAGTATTGTGTCAAATAATGTTCTTTCTGCAATTCGTAGTTGTAATGACACTATTTCCATATCTATATTTGGGATTTCCAGGGTTTCATTGGGCCTCCTGGCGTTGCTGGGCCACTGGGACCAGAGGGGGAGCAAGTGAGTGATGCACTTTTTTTTTACTCACTATTCCTGTGCACTAGGAGCTTTTCATGCCCATATTTGATCACATATATTTCTAACAACCCTCCCCATTTTTTTCTTTAATTATTATTTTTCAGCCAGCTCTGTTCTAATATACTGTATCTGTTATGTTTGTTGTGCTACTTAGTACTTGCAGACGTATCTCCGGACATCTTTTTACTCACACCCATTTGTTATTCCTAATAAAGTGTCCTTGACGTCAGGATAAAGTGTGTTTGGCAGAGGTAATTGGAAGCTGCCATTTATTATTATTATTATTAGCCGTATTACGAGGGCAGCCTTTCTATGGCACATTTTTTTCAGACAAGATCAGTTGAGATTTGAGAAGCAAATTTTGCCCTAGCAGCATAGGTTCATGTACTAGATTTCAGTCACTTATTCACTTATCCTTCTTTTTTTAGGGCCTTCGTGGACCTGTTGGAAAACCTGGCGCCAAAGGAAGACACGTAATAACTCATTTATTTCATCCCTGCCATCGGTCATAGTTGTTTCCGGACAAAACAAAATGTATACCTTTGTCATCTATCATCTGTGAGTAGGCAGCTACAAGCTTTATTTCTGTATTTGGTATAAAAAAATCAGGGAGATTGTAAATATGGATGGAAATACAGTGTCTCCTCTTATAGCATTACAGTACTTCACATCCACACAAGTCCGGGGGCAATTCAATTAATTGGTGCACTGCATTGGGTGCTAATGTGCTGACGCTAACTCCTTTTGATGATTTAACAAGATGTGGCAAATCCCCCTGTAAATGAGTGTGACGGCTGTATTTTGGCATCGGTCCTGCAATGCCGAGTTTTTTCCCTGGTTTTGTTAAAAAGAAGTACAGATTGAGATGGATAAAAATTGAATATCAAGGTTGGAACTTTTCACACTGTGAAAAGGGAATGTTTTGAAAAACAAGCCTTGGCCTCTCTGTTAAAGTTACCAAGCGGGCAGTGAGCGCCGTGCTTCATCTGTATTTATTTCCCACCACGTCAATGCAAATTTGATTTTAATCAATCCCTAAATGCGATTTAATAATTAAAGGCTCTGTGCCGTGGATCACATAAAACACATACATGAAGACACAGTGTGAAAGATTTTATTCCCCTTCATAGAAGTGTTTTATACCGCAAAGTGTAAATGTACTTTTCCCACAGGGAGTGATGGGAGATGTGGGGGAGAAGGGGCCTCCTGGTCCTGATGGCAATGAGGTGAGAACTTCTGGTGAATTCAGTTGTCCTCTCTTCTTATCCCGCACTTTTCCTTCACCTTTCTGCCTGTTATTTTACTTTTCTTTCCTCCTTCTATAAAGTATTGTTCTCCCTGCTTGTTACGTGTCCTCTTTCAACAGTAACGGATTCAAAAATGTTTATTTCCTTCATAAAAACGACTTTGCATGAATCCTTTAATCATTTGATTCAAGCAAACACTTCTGAAATGTATGTAGACTGCGTAATATGAAAACAATCAAACAGTGTGTCTGCAGAAGGATAAGCATAGATCGTCATCTTTCGTCAGGTATAGAAATGAACTTGTTTTTGGGGGCACGTTTAGACATATGTTGAGATGTACATTAAGTCGGTCACAGTATTTCCTATTAAGCCTTTGGAATGTGGGACGTGTGGTACTGTAAGTGCCCTTCCCTGTGTACTTAGGGTGCTGCTGTGATGTTTTACAGGGACCTGTTGGTGGGATTGGCATTTGTGGCTTTCCCGGCCTGAGAGTGAGTATCAGTTCTGCAAAGTTATCATTTTTATTGACGTGTTTCATTGGCAACATGTGCGCTGTGTGATTTCTGACTCAATTTGTTCACAGTTCTGCTTCTATCTCTGCTAATCTGTCCATCCTTCTTTCCACTTGTCTGTCTCTGGTGGTTGGATTGTGGTCAGGATGATGGATAGCAAGGTTTCGGGTTTTCCTTCAGGCATGATAGATATGAATTTCCATTCTATCATCTTTGTTCTGGTTTGGACTCGTATTTTATGGCAGTAGCCCATTTCTTACTGTTAATGACAGAAACAACCAAAGTATAAGTTGTCTACAGGAACAGAATGTACCTTGAGCCATACTGGCTGTACTGTTTCTGTTTTCTGTTTTAAAAATCAGCACTGTCACAGTGCTTTGAAAAAAAAGTATGGTTATACTGGTTAAAACTCAAAAGTGCTCATATATGCACATTATGTTTTAAAAAAGATTTTAAAATACTACGGAATCCCTCATCTTTAGCAAGGAAATAAATAGTTAATTATCAAAGCTGAAGTAGCTTGTCTTACCCTAGCAACCAGTCATTTCCTTTAACTGCTTTTGAGTAATCATGCAAGAAAGCCAAAATACTTTCACCTCTTTAATCCTGGCTTTGATGTAATTCATATTTAGTCAACTTTCTGGCTGAGTGGTTTTCGACACGGGTTCAAACTCACTAAGGACTTTGATTTGACACCTAAAACTAATTTTCACTTCCTAGTGTCAATCACACCCTCGCGGTTCCAGTTGCACTCACTTGTCTAGAAAAGCAATTAGACAAAGTTAGAACTTTAGTTAAGTAATCTGAGGGAGAGCAGAAATGGAGCAGCTCCTTTTCCCTCTAGTGTCTTTTCCACTCAGCAAAATGCGATGCAGCCAAAGTCTTTCACAGCCTGAATAAAAAAAACACATAGTGGAGACTTGATACACTTTTTTTATGTGTCAGAGTTGCTGATTTACCCGTTTTGATCACTTGCATATGTGGCGTGGTGAAGCCTGAAGACACAGTAGTTCAATTGTGCTTTCCCCCACTCACAGGTACAAAATACAATCAAGTGTATGACACTGTGCTAAAATGTTTTTGTTTCAATGGTTGTGTTGAAACAAGAGGCAAATGAATGTTTCAATCTGGATGCTGTCTAGTCTGCATTCAAATGTCTTCATTGTGGCTACGAGATAATAATAGTTAATTGCAGTCAGGCTGCCTGAGAGCTCTGAATCCCTAGTTAAAGCCATACAGGACTGCAGGTCCTTGATGACATAGAATTGAGCAATGTCCTCTCCTTCGCCTCTCATTTGCAATTTATTTTCACATATCTTCTTCTATCTTTTGTTTTTTTTTGGAATTCCACATATATCATTTTAACATAAAGGTACACAATATCTTCCACTCTAGTCTTTAAAATACCCCTCACACCTCCGCCTCAGATGGCAAATCAAGAAAACCCTCAAAACAAAAACCCATGAATGTATATTTTTTGCTTTGTTTGCTGGCAGATTGATGTTTGCCACAGATCCAATGTCGCAACATAGTGGCCAATGACACGGTTGCAGCAGTTTTAGTGGAAACCTCCCTGTCAATGGGCGGATCAGAAAAGGATATTTTTGTTTGTTCTCTCCACACATTCTGACCATTCTCTCCTCACGTCAGTCATTTAGAGTGGATATTGTTGTTATACTGTCTACGCAGCTTAGTTGTGTTGGAAGGTTGTGAACATAAGGACAGAAAACAGCTGATCGTGTTTGTGTCAAAGGAGCATTCCTGCCAAGAAAAAATTCGGAAACATGTAGTGGGAAATATGCCATTGTGTGTCAGGTAACAGTTGTCTGTGTGTGTGTGTGTGTGTGTGTGTGTGTGTGTGTGTATGTGTGTGTGTGTGTGTGTGTGTGTGCAGGTTTCTGTGTATTTGAAATACAACTATTCCATTGTGTACCTCCTTTCCTCCACAGGGGAGCCCGGGACCTGTGGGACTGCGAGGAGTGCCTGGTTTGGTGGGGCCTCAGGTGTGTTAGACATCGGCTACTGCAAACGCTCAACATTTACTGTAAAGTATCCACTGCATCTAACTCCTCATCATACATCCAGTAACACCAGATATCTATTTTATGACCTGTCAAAATGTATAAAGACTCAGTAATACGTTTGAAAACATTTGCTTAAAATATCAGTTTGTGTTATCCATCCGCCTCCTCTTTGAATAAACTTCAAATTCCTGCTTCGAAACGTGTTCAGTTTCTTCTCCTCCTATTAATGGACTGATTCTTCTGTTTTCTCCTCCATGTTTCCTCTTGCTGTGGTAGGGCCCAGCAGGACCAGCCGGCCTGCCTGGATTGAAAGGTGATAAGGTGATCTAAATATTTATATTATTGCAGTTTATCTGTGTGTAACGTGTCTAGTAGCCCAGCTCACATCCTGTTATTATTTGGACAATTCAGCCACTGTGAACTCAAATTTAATGACGTGATAGTAAAAACAGTATTTTAATAGTTGTGGCGGAGCAGTGTTGTGTGTTATATCTCTGAATGATACTGTGAAATTCAGGGTGACGTGGGACAAATGGGCGAACCTGGAGAGATGGGTTTCCAAGGTGATAAGGTACGTCTGCCGTCACACTAGTAAGTAAAACAACTATTGTTACCAGTAATTCATCCGAATAGTATTCAATTTGTTAGTCCCTCCGCTCATCCATCATGACGTCAGTATAACTATTGATGTGTTGTTGAGGACTTTGGAGCAGAATCTACAGAGGGAAGTTAGCACACAAACCAAGCCATGCACTTAGTTGTAATTGATTCAAACAAAGACAATAAAACACACACAAAGGATGTTCAAGACTAGCTTGAGAGTGTTGTATCTGTGTCTTTCAGGGTGTGGTTGGTGCACCTGGTCCCACTGGGCCAAGAGGGAAACCTGGACCACTGGTATGTGAGTGTGTGTGTGTGTGTGTGTGTGTGTGTGTGTGTGTGTGTGTGTGTGTGTGTGTGTGTGTGTGTGTGTGTGTGTGCGTGAACAAGATTAGGTTTTGTACAGCTTTAATATATATGTATATATGAAGCCAAGTAAACACATTCCACCACAATGAGATGGGGAACCTTCTATCTTATGTGTAAACTGAAGCAAACTCTTTCACAACCACAACACATTTTTGTGCACTTTTTTGTTTGTGACTTGTGAACAACAATCAAAGACAGAAGCACATATATTGTGAACCAATGTTGTAACCCAATTTCACGCCCTTTACGGTGGAACACCGTATTAACACGTCCAGATGCTCTCCTGTTGCACAGCACCTATTTCCTTATGTAGAAATCTATGTTAAAGTGACTACCACTGTCAATAATGAAGGTGTGTTGTCTGTATTTTAAACAGGGTAGAATCGGTGAGGTGGGGCTGCAGGGACCACCTGGGCCTCCTGGACCACAGGTAGGACATGTGGGCAACTATCTTGATAGGCGTTTAATCGTTATTGTGTTTGTAAAACGTTGCAATGGGTTAAAGCTCTCAAATGTGTGCACTTGCTGCTTTCTTTGTGTTACATTAAAAAATACGTTAGTTCTTTGGGGTTGGGATTGTTTGACGGATGACATATTGTAATGGCATATCATCTCCTTTTTCCTGTTGGTGTATTGATTAAACAATGAAACATTAAAGGGACATTTTAATGAACAATGAAAGGCGATTTTAAATCTTCTAGTAGTATTTACTCATCCCATTTGATCGGCCTTTAGATAAATGCAGATAAACAATCTGTGTGGCAAGCAATGCCAGCACAGTTTATGCACGCACCCCAGAAATATAGCCCCTCGTCTCCAGCCGTTATCCAGCATCATGATGGAAGGATTACATGGATTTATTTACTGTTGAATGATTTGAGAATGACTGATTCTCGGATTTCTTCTTCTGCCTCAAGAAATATAAAAATCAGCACATTTATGGTTTTTGATAACTCCCCAAGCTTTTCCAATATCAGTAAACTTTTCACACCATATATTGAATAATAATGTTTATCTGTGGGCCATTCATTGACACCACATAATAGTTCTGTCATCATGACCTTTAATCTAATAATATTAGTATGTATGTTAATATGTATGCTTCAACTCATTTTAATCAGTGGATGACCACTCGATGATCTCATGACTTTTCTCATGGCAAACTTACATCAACAATTCCTCTTGTATATATCAAACATGCGAGAATCAAACTACACAATTGCTCTACCGGGTTGTTGCCATGAGTTCTGCTGAACATAAGCATTTGACTCACTGGAATAGGGAGACATTTTTAGTTCTTCGTTCTTCACTCATACTTAAACAATTTGAATGCAGGCAACAGAGACATCCAGCAACTCGTCTCACCAGGTCCAAATCATGCTGCAATACCTAACATATAGCAAGATGACCCTTGTGCTTTCCCTCTTCGGGCATCTCCCTCCAGCATGTCTGTGCCTCGGTTGTAGAATACCTCATCTTTAGACAAAGATGTCGTTATTGATGCTTGCGTATGTGGGAAGCACAGGAAATGCCAAAGAGACACTGCGGTCAGGAGGGCAACATGACCATAAGTCACAACCTTCTAAAATGAGTAATAGTGTCATGGCAGGAGTCCCTGGAGGTATTCAACCTCCATCTGCTCAGGAGCAATCCATCACTATCTTTATATCCATTTACAATAAGTCTGCCTTTATTCTCAAGAAAGGCCTCAGTCCAGTGATTTTGCAAAAAGGAGCCGCTGTATTACATCGACGTGGCTGCTTTGTTCCTGCCTTTTTTTAAATGCAGTATAATTACAACCCTCCTTTCATTTAGACAGAGTTGTGATGAGTTAATTTACTTTGTTGGATCAAACTGCACCAATAACTCTTTGTGACTCTTCGTGGCGCGTTACATGGTAACGTCTAATGATACTAACATGTCTGTCCCTCTGTCTGTGGAAGGGGTTTCCTGGGGACATCGGAGTACCAGGGCCCAACGGTCCACCTGGACCGAAGGTACAACTGCATCTCTCCTTCTGTCCTTCTGCCCATCAACCCGTTTGTTAAAGGCATCCAACTCATGTCGTGCATTTGTCTGTGTTTCAGGGTTTGCAGGGTGCCCGAGGGCCCCAAGGCGCACAGGGACCACAGGGAACACAGGTGAGACAATTACACCACATGTAATCCCCTATGATGGATTCTCAGAAGCCCCCAGAGAGAGTTTGTTTCAATACCATTATGTTCAGTGCAAATTGCACTGGGTGTAGTCATGCTTCATTATTGGGTGCGTATACCCTTTGGAAGGTGAACAATTCACACACACTGAATGATACAGCAACAAACTGGCCAATAGTCACACACACACATCTTCCTGGTAGCGGTCGCACAGTCGGATTGGACTGCGGAGTCTGTTCTTGAGGACTAGTGCAAAGTCGATCCCCTTTATTTGACCGTAGCTGTGAGCAGTCGAGTAGGTTTGGTGTCGGAAGCTGGGGGAGCACAGTTGAGGAGGCAGTGGGGAACTAGTAGTCATGCAAATGGAATGGTAACTTTACTGTGTGTGCATTTCTTTGTGTGTGTTTTAGGGAGCCAGCTGTATTTACTTGTCGGTTGGATTCTGCCCTGTATATGTGAGCATGCGCTTGTGTGTGTTTATGTTTGCCAATATTTGTGTATGATGAACTGTACTATGTTCCTGCAGGGCGATGACGGATCTCTTGGACCACCTGGTTCGCCGGCTCCACTGTAAGGACCTTCTTTATCTGTACCTGGAAAATCATGATCTAATATGCATGGAGAATATGCTCTACAAATGACTTTTATGGAGGCCGATATAATGAAACACTTAGCTTATATATTCTTGCAGGAAGTAGCTGAGATTAGATGTTATAAATAAGCTTTGCTATCTTTTGATCATCACGTGTTGTGTTGTGTGTGTGTGTGTGTGTGTGTGTGTGTGTGTGTGTGTGTGTGTGTGTGTGTGTGTGTGTGTGTGTCTCCAGGGGAGACCTGGAAGGAAAGGCTACGTAGGCGAACCCGGCCCGGACGGTTTAGAGGTCAGTCGAGTTCTGCAACAATATATCAGCTAAAATGCATCGTGCACTTGAAAAATGGTGAAAGAGTCACCCTCGGATTAACACACTGTTTAATGTCATAACTGTAATGATATTTTCATTTGTATTCTTATTTTGTTGAGAAAGAACAAGTACAGTAAGCTATTTCCATAATAAACTGTACAGCCCTCATCATCCAAAGCTGAGAACAACACTTTATGTTTTTTTGTAGCAACCAGAGTTGGTTCATGTTTAGTTTCATTGATTGAGAAGTCGGTATTATTGACTTTATTTTTTCATGAACACATTGAGTTGAACTATAAAGACAAATACTAATCTGAATTAAAATCATCCTTCACCAGTCTCGAGGACGCTGACATCACAGTCTCGCGCCTTATTTATCTGTCGCTGTGTGTTTTTTTTACTTCAGCAAACTACAGCATTCCAGACATGATCTTCTCCCTTTTTTATTGGCGGCTATTGGCTTTTGTACACACCACAAATCCAGTGTCAAGATTTTACTTTGTCGAGCGCCAGTTTGCTTGTGTTTAGTTGTCTAGATGTAGCGTTGTAAACATGCTTTTAATAAGGAGTGAAAATGATTTCTTCCAGGACTCATCGTCGTACACAAAGAAGAAGCAACACAACGTGTTTCACAGTCACTTGCCATCTGTGTGTGTTTCACTAGTATGCTGAGTCCTGCCCCATTAGCAGGACAGAATGGGGGCAGAGATATCTTTAATTACAGGAAGCTAACCCGCAAACTGTTTGATGTCTCCTGCTTGCAGGGAGAGAAAGGAGACGTGGGAAATGTTGGGAAAATAGGAACACAAGTAAGTTGCTTTAGCAGTTGAAATGTACAAGACTGACATAAAATAACAGCCCTGCTGCTCCCGACTGGTAACTTTTTAAGAGTGTGATTGAGGAGTCTGGGCAGGACGTTTTATTGCCTTGAGTTCCTGTCCTTGAATATTTTAATTAAGTTTGCTCAAAGATGAAGGTACATGTTGCATTGAGATAATGGTGTAGTGCTTCCACTGTGGAGGAAATGACAGGATCATTTTCTGATTTTCTGCAACGTTTCCCAGAACCACCTTAAACATTTGGAGCCTCTTTAGAGCCTCTCTCAACACCAGCGATTGAACTTGGCCACCATAGGAGAACAAACGGAACAGCAATAAGAGATCCTGTGTGGAAGTCACCTCATTATAGTGCAAACACTTGTTTATTGCTATAATGCTGCCAAAGTGCGTTTCACGTCTGATCCTCCCAAAGAGTCACACTTGTAGTGCTTGTTGCTGTAATAACTAAGTAAAAAAATCTTGTGTCGAAAAGATGTTGGTCTTTGTCCATCGAGTAGCTTTGCAAATGTCCTAAAACATCTGTATGAGGATTGTTGTATCAATTGACTGCAAAATCCCAGTTCCCTGAGTAAGTCTTTCTGCTTCGTTAATGCTTTACATCCAGCACACAAATGTCCCTTTTGTTAAAGTAACAAAGTAACAACGTCCAACGTGTCTCCGTCCTTCCCGGAGGCCCCTAAATGTTAATATTTGCATTCTGTTCATTGTGGAGTCCACCGAGTGGGCCGTGTAGGACTATGTTGCTGCAGCGCACATATGAGAGGGATTAAGCACTTAGTGAGCAGAGGGGCCTTTGAAGGCAAGGAGGAGACATGGGGTTATGCAGAGAGAAAAAAAAAACTCAAAGACATATGGAGGCTTTAATGATTGCCATTACATCACTTTCCAAATAAATGTGTAAGAAAGCGGGAAGGAGTGTTGTTGGACAGTGCAGGTTCATCCAGGGTGCATGCAGCAAGAAGGCTGCCGACCGCCTGTTTTTAGCGGGCGACCCCGTGTCACCATTTCCTCTCACGAACAGTTTCAAGTGACGTTTTACTGGAGTTAAGTGACTTTCCGCCAAGTCAGATTGACTGAGGAGTGTTTCATTTTGAACTCAATATCCAGACTACAGCTAATAAAACGTGTGCCAATATCTGAATAACCGAAAGCAACCATAGGTGTGCTTGGAACTACTGTTAACACGTCACCCTCTGTACTTTTAGTTACCCATTGTGTTTCCAGGAAAGAGGCACGTGTGAGACAGAACCTTTATACAATTAACTATTAGTGACTTGGGCTGTCTTTCTTCTCTAACTGTGAGGTCAAGGTTTATACCACTACTTTTGTAATCAAGGCTGTTCCAGAGGGACCCGATAGCCTTTAAAGAGCATTTGAAAAGCTCCTGTAACATGGAAACCTTTCGCAAACAACTTCATTCTGCAATACTCTATGTTTTACCACATTGTCCCACTTTAGCTCTCAATTAAGGGGTTTGTGGTCATTTTAGAGCGCCTGTTCCCTTCACAGACACTCTGCTACTAATCCGTCGCCGAGATGCTTTACTTGCATCAAACAGGAAAATACTCTTTGGGAGATAATACATGAGTAACACTGTGAAGCTGGAATAGCAAATAGAACACACTTTCAGCATATTTATCTTGGTGTTATCTGTGTTTCTTGTCCTTTCATTTGTTGTCCTCACTTTATCTCTCTGTTATGCTACTCTGATTCTTTTTTCCATTTTTCCCCTGCTTTCCCTCTCCTTCTCCAAACACACATCTAAGGAAAACAATTGAATTAAATAACAATACCAAATACTATATTATCATGGCACAGAAGTAATGCTAACTTGTAGAACCATGTAACCTTTAAATATGGGAATATATATTTCTATAAGTAAGAAGCACAGCAAAAGGGAGCCGCAGTGTGACTACGCTTGGTTTTGTGGTTTGCATATGCTGTAAATTATTACAGTTGCACTGTAATTTGGTTGGGTTGAAATGTTTTTGGAGCTTGCACTCCCAGTGCACTTGCTGTGGGGCCGTTTACTTGCATTATTGTGGCTTGGTCAGGCTTGTGATGAGTGCGTGCTCCTTGCACTTTGCCGAAGTGACCTTACATTTAGTTTTACTTTCATAGAATATGATTTCAAAAAGTACTGTGCAGTTAGATTAAACTCCAGAACGGCTTGCACTGACCAGGACTACAGAACCGGGAATCTCCCGATCTTTGATTCTGTGCATAAGAATTATGTAATCCTTGCTTTGTGTCAGAAAATATAGTTTAGTTCCATGATTTACAAAAGTTGATGTCTCATGCTTTTGTATTGTTTTTCCATCCTCCTTTAAACTGAAGCAGGCATTGTCTTATTCACGCTGCGTAAGATTCTTTTGTAAGATAGAAATATTCTTTATGGAATTGATTTATTTCTAAGATGTAAAGCTTGTTAAAGGTAGAAAGTGAAACATTCAAGAATTCATTGAATATTAAACCTACAGGTTTGTTGCAAAATAAGCATTTCATGAATGAACCAGGTTCCCACTGAAAACTTTCCCCTTACGTTCTCTCCTCTGCTCTTCAGGGTTCACTAGGCATCGTGGGGATTGTTGGGGTGATGGGAGTTCCTGGTGAAAAGGTAAGGAGTGTTTTCTGTCATTAGGCCGTCAATCAGCATCAGCTGGTTGCTTCTCAGCGGCAGGCCCCTGTAATTTGGGCTCCTTTGTGCGATCACGGCTTTAGGCTCTAGAGGGCCGAAAACACGCGCCTCGATAAATACTAAACCCGCCTACATTCACACCCAGAACTATAAAGTCGAAGCCATGTCCCCATTACTGCCCCTCATGCACAAGCAACTCTATCAATCCGGGAGTTTGTCACCATATGTCAGATTTGTTAGTGCTTGGTGCTGCTCTGACATATATGCAGTATATATTAATGCACATGCAGTCATAAACCCAATGAAAAAGGATAGCACACACATATTAGTCATGTTAAAATATTCATGATTCAGAGTCACTGAGCCTTTTTCTATTTTCGGATCCTATTTCCTCACCCTCAGCTCAAAATAAAATTCTGCAAGTGACTCTGCTGAAGGGAAATTATTTTAAAAGAATTATTATTGACAGTCGGACAATTTATTACTATTTGCTGCATTGCTTCCATCTCTAACTCGACCAGTTCACCTTTCCTGCCTATATAGCAGCTGTTTGTCAGAACATGTCCTCCGCTTACTCATACACAAAATCCTTCCCCTGGTTCCATCTCTCAGCACCAGCCGTCCCCTGACAGCCCCCCAATTTCCTTTCACATTGTATATTGTGTAGGAACAATCTCTGGATTAGACCTTTGTCCCTTACAACTGCTTTTCTTACCGTTTGATAGAAGTGCAGTCATGAATGTTGCACGGCTCAGGGACACACGTGTTGTTTGACCTGGACGGATTTACTGCTCACCGGGGGTTAACTTTGCCTTTAACGCAATATGCCACCAACTGGCTTTAAACTTCCCTCAACCAGGTGTCAATCTAACTTTCTGCATTTCACGAGCTGCTCTCCAGTTTCACGGCTCTTTATCAGGAAAATTATTTGTGAGGCTGTTTTTTTTGTGTGTTTAGCTTTCAGGTTAAAGTTTAATGAACAGCTCTCTTTGTGTTTTTATTTCCGTAGGGCGACCGAGGACCAGCTGGTCCAACAGGTCCGTTTGGGGAGAAGGGACCACAGGTAAGTGAAAAATGAAACAGATTTCCCACAAATTAACATAGCCATATTATCTCAGGTATCTGCCAGTATTAAGCTCAACCACTGAAAAATTAGCTTAAAGTCTTAGGCAGATGTATTTTTAGCTACAATGTTTGTTTCAGGGGAATGAAAGCTATTCACATAAACGTAAACTATATAAACTACTCAATGCTGCAAATGTTGTAGCTAAACATTTTAAAAAAATCATTCCATTCCGTACTGTAATGCTAAAAAAAAAGGAAGTTTATTATATAATCGATATTGTATTTATGTCTGTTGAAATACCTGTATGTGTTCTCTGTCTCTGATGTCTCTTTGCAAACCTAAATCATCTATCAATCATCATTGTTAGGATGAGACCTCAAATAGATCTGACAAACTGTTTTTAAGAGGCGGTTTGATATCTCTCACTCGCAGTTTTATGCACAAAAACTTCACTCTTCTTTATGTTCATCTCGGGTTCAATAAATGTTATATATATACAGACCTTTTCCACTAAAGTATTTGGTAAATGTTATGACATTACCAACACACACACTGTGGAAATTGTGTTTTCATTCAAATCTTTTTGACACTGTTGATTCCCTGAAGAAAACAAGGTGCCGTTGTCCCGTGCAGCAGCGTCTCCACTCTCTCCCACACTGATGCTTGCACAGGTTGGCCTGCATCCTTCAGTTTCCTGGGGCCTTGCCTAATTTCAATGTCTGTGGCTTCGGGCATCGGTCCTGACCTAGCTGGCCAGCAGCCTGACTGATTGGAAAAGAAGAGAATTAATTTGGTGGCTCCCTGTCAGAATAGTTAGATGATTAAATCAGTGCTCGTCCGTGTGCATGTTTGACTGAGAGAGATAAAGAGATCTTTGTGTCATATTCAGGGAGTTATGGTGATTTGGTTGAACCATTTTTGGGCTAAAATGAAGCCACGTTGGTGAGGAGTTGCCGTTGGGCTTCGGGCTGTCAGCACAGATGACAATAATCTTTTTGTGAAGTTTGGTTTCTGTTTGAAGGCACTTTGCAGGGATTAACATTTCCTGGCAAAGACACTCAGGTCCTGGTTTGATTTTGTGGTTTTATTCCTGGATGGATGAGGATGTGTGATGGGTTGGGATTAGATGAGAACCACAGACCCAGGTGTCACTCTCTTTCCAGTGGGTCCTGAGAAAGATGTAAAATTGAAAACAATTCTGCAGAACGGGTCCAGGATGAAGTTTGGGCTGGAGCCAATTGTTCCCTCTGCAGACCTGATGTCCGTTGTAGTCGGTTCCTGCCCTGGTTTGTGGCCAATCCAAACCACACTGCGATGGAAGAACAGAGAACAGACTGGATGATTAAAACAGGGCCAGCAGCTCCCGATGCAGGTAGAACTCCCTGAGTGAGCTCATCCCTGTCACTTCAGTTTCCCCGGAGATCCACAGCAGACGCGGGGCTGTTGAGTTGAGGGATAAGAGCAGTGGGGAGAGCACACATCCCTGGGAGGGGGCGTTGGTGCTTACAGTGCTTACAAAAGTGATTTTTCCCAGCGCCACCTGTCTCTCGGGATGTTAGTAACCCACTGACAGGTGGAGGCTGTGTTTGAGTATCTGAGCGCTGAGCTGAACTCCACAAACACCACCTGTGCGGACGTCCCCGGTGAGTCGAGGTGATGAAGCATGTGGTGGCAAACTTGTAGACGGCATCATCCACCGACCTATTTGCACTGCAGGTGCAATAATGCGGCAGTTTGGCAATAAAGTGGTAACTACTATGCCATTGCACAGTCAACCTTTCTATAATGTTTGTTATTTCTGTTTTGGTGTAAGGGCTATTCAGGGACACCAGGAAGTCCGGGGGACATCGGCCTGCAAGGTGCAGCAGTAAGTGTCAAACACTCGTCTAATACCATGCTGTGATTGTGTGCATGGGGATGATCCCACGTAAATCCATTACACTAGCATTATATAACTTATATTAAACTTATTGAGGAGTAATACATAAAAGATAAAATAAGGCTTAAGAAGTGCTGGGTTCCTTTTCAGAAATATTGACATTTTCATTCATAAAATTGCATACAATGATATTATCTGTCAAACCTGAACCGGTTTGCTGAATACTGTAATTTGGGCTTTAATGCCCCATAATAATATTTTTCTTAACTGTCCTGCAATTCCTAAAGGAATTCAAACGTTCCCATAAACAAGGTTTCTTAGCAGACAGATTGTTCAGTAGTTCTGCTGACGCCTTCGTAACGCGTCCATTAGGACTTGTGTTGATCTGGTATAAAAGACGCATTGAGAGATCTTTCCCAATTTAGAAATATTCACACTGTATTTTATAGTTTGTATCTGCATTATGCCTGCATACCTGCCTTCATTCTGTCTCTCAGATCTTACTTGTGTCCGTCTTAATTTTTCTCACAGGGGCTGCAGGGGCAGAGGGGGACTCCAGGCGTTGCTGGGCCAAAGGGCAGGAGGGTAAGAGCAGTCTAACCTTCGAGGTCTTTAAGTATCTAAGCCAACTTTTAACTCAACGACTGATGGAAACTTCACTCACCAAGTCCCTTGGCAGTTCGTTTTGCATCACAAACCTATTTTCCACAAACCAAAGTTGAAAGCAAGAAATTGGCTCAGGTTTAGTTACAGGTGGATTCGTAATCTCTTTTGAAGGACGCAATGTCAGTTGGATTTGGTGCGGTAATACTGGTGAGACATCGTGTGGCTGAGAGGTGAATGACACCCTCGGGGAACGTAGGTCAAGATCATTGAGACTACAGTATATCAGTACATTTTGCACTCGGAAGCAAATTCATTTATTTAAGAGCAGTTCAAACGATGTGATTCAACTGAAATATGTATCCGGGGACAACTTTCTGCTCCTTCATATCACAATAATTGTTTGTGCACGACCGTAACGTACAACTATGAATATTTATTTTTCACTAATTTCACTAAACGGATGGTTTGCGTGACCAGAGTCGTTCTACCCAATACCACAACACTTCCTGCACATTACCACGTATCCATCGTTCACTTCCATTTTACCAGAGCAAAACATATGGCAGTACTTAATATGTCACGTCTTTACCGTAATCCACACGTGTCAGTCTGTGGTTGCATTTACCGTCTGGCTGAGGTGAGATATACGTCGTTACCCTCATCCGCCCTCCTCGTCTGGCGCCTGTTTTTGTTTTAGCAAAACATGTCACGCGCCATTGATCTCTGCACAGTTGAGAGATCAGAATGCAACGTAATGGAAGGAAAATAAAGCAAACCAATCATACTTATCAGTTCAGCCTTTGAGCTCTGAACGATCCAGCCGTAGACTGGAGCTGAATTATTTGGGTAGCGCCTTCGCTAGTCGATGGTTTCTGATGAACTACTTCCTCAATGTTTCAACCTGCTACCGTCACAGAAATCCGTAATAACGTGTTTCACAACTTGTGCACAAATTGGTTGAATTGCCTTCCTTGCTGAATACAAACATGTCAAACTATTTATTCTGTTTACAAATGGGCCTGTCAGACCATCTAAACATGTTAATGATGGCATTAGGTACCTATGACCTAAATTAATGAATAACTTCTTACATTTAACTCATTGAGAAGAAGCAGTGAAACACTGAGGACAGAGCGCAGGTTACGTTAACGTTGCCTCAATGAGCTTTGAACCCAGATTGGTGAAAGAGACAAACTATTAAGGGACAGAGAGACGAAGACAAAGCCGTGTGTGTCTGCCTGGAGGCGTAATGGGAGTAAAGTGATCTGACAGGGGTGAGAGCCGGATTGAAAGCCAGAGGCTCAGAGTAGAAACTGATAGAGAGACATCAAAGGAAGAGACATAAAAGAAAAGGGTGGACAAGAGAGGGAAGAGGAGCGTCTTGTGTTGTATTTACAGATTTGTATCTGTCCCTCACCTGTACGTTGGCACTACATTCCTGGAAAACCCCTGCAATGTTAGTGGGAGTGGTGACGACACGGAGTAGAGACCAATGACTGTTTTTGGTGGTGTTTCACAGATATATATATATATATATATATATAGGTATGATGCTTTAAAGTATGTGTTACCTAAACTGCTCATTCTTCTTTGAGTGATGAAAGGTGTGTCTCATGTTTCCTTCGCACAGGGGCCCCAGGGTGCAGAAGGCCTACTCGGTGAACCAGGCCCTCAGGGCACCAAGGTAGAGCTGCACACCTCCCTGTGTGAACTCCTGCATATTGGCCACAGTATTACAGTTGAAATGATTTGTCACATATTGTGGATGATTTATTTCTTTTAGTTCATCCAAAGTTTTCCAAAATGTGTCGAAACCTTTTGTTTTCAGGGTGAACGGGGTGACATTGGACCAAAAGGAGAGTCGGGATTCATAGTAAGTAAACTTTTAAAATGTTGCAAAATGTATTTTTGTCTTTTATCTTATAGACAGAAAAAAAGTGATTACATAACAGGCCACAACGTTTGTACTCTGTATTTTACATACTGAACACATTTCCGGATGAAGACTTCAGGCTCTTAAGAAATGAAAACACGCATATTTTAGTAACGAAAGCCATGAATAATCCTTGTCATAGAAAGGCATCAACCTGAGGCCTTGAGGTTCACATACGCATTACTTTTGAAGACTCGCATGGAAAAGACATTTCCACATCATAACCCTCGGGCCCCTCTAAAAGCTCGGCGAGTCTTTCATCAGTCTTTATTTGCAGAATGGGCCTTTGTCTTAGCACCTCGGTACCGAGATTCTCCCAAACACAGTTATTATGTAGAGCTGCCAGCTTTTAGAGTGGAAGCCGGAGCTAAACCTGCAGAGGAGTAGCAGGATTGACATACACTTTGTATTTAACAGATCTAGTTGATTGAAATGCAATCCAACTTCTGACTTGCCTGAATGAATTTGATGAAATTGTTTTAAAACACTTTAGGTCATGCATAATATATACTCACGTGTCTGTATGTATTAAAGGGCTTCATAACATTGCTCTGTAATATACAAAACATTATGTAGGAATTTATGAGCAAACATAGGTTAAAATTCAACAAACACTTAATTAATGTCACACCTAGAACATTTCTACCTGTAAGTCATTCCAAATGGCCTGGGCAAGAAACTAAGGAGCACATCCCTGTTAAACCCATTATTAGAAGTGGTGCTTTTGCAGACATGAAAGATTACTATGTTTTCAGTATTTCTCTCAAAACGGATTATAATTATTTGGTTATTTGGTTTGACTGCTTGTTAATCATTTAAATAATGATTTCTCCTCTGCAGGGCAAGGCGGGCAGTCCGGGAGCAAGAGGCCCTCCAGGGAAGAATGTAAGTAATGTTCAACTGAATGCTGAATCTCTCTTTCAGCTCTAATTATCCTCTTCACTAAAGCATGAACCATCACTATGACAACAGCAGACACCACGCACTTGTAAAACATTCACACATCCTCTTTTTACCAGAAATATATATTATTATACCTTTAAGAGTGTGGACCTACAAAGTCACTAAAGAGGAGGTTGTTGAAGTTAAAAACAGGGACTGTTTATCCCCCTTATTCAACTAATGTGCGTTGGTGTGAGTTTGAACGTGTCTTACAAACGTAACTGAAAGTATTCTGCATTTCCTGCCTCTGAATTGAAGAAATAATAGAGAATTTTTCATCTACTTTGTTTGTGAGTTTACCACAATGCCACACGTTTAGAAAAAGCAGTTAATTCAGAGAAAATAAATGTTTTAAGCTTTTATCAAATAATTGGGCCCATGGTATGTACATGAGTGAGCAGACAGCATTGTACACCTGAAATATGCACTTCAGTGCTCTCTGGTGGACAGATTCTGTAATGGAAAAACTCCACACTGATTTATATCGGCCTATCCAGTGGCATGTGTGACAATACCAATACAATCCGCTAATAATGATCCATGATATCAGCCAGTTGATTGATTGCACAGGCTCTACTTTGGATGGGACTTCCAATGGGACGATTGTGCCTTGTTATTGTACCACAAAAGCATTTAGCAAATAGCATTTTCCATTTTTTCAATAAAAAAAGATTTTAGCTTTCTGGGCTGTGAAAGGATTAAATATCTGATTTTCCACAGATTGTTGAAAAAACACCGATCGCCAGCTCATCGAAAAGCTGATTCGAGTGTGCCGTCTATAGTCATATACACAGCATGTTTCTGTTGGTTTCATCCATTTATGGCGGGACGATTCCCAGAATCCCTTTCATCCGCATGCCCAACCGGTGTGGGATTTAGTTGTTTGGCCTTTCCTCCAACAAATGAGCAGCTGCACACTTTCTACATTCACGTGTTGACTCACCACTTATCATTTCAGTCTCTCTCAGCCCTTTGCTCTCCCTCCCTCTCTCCTTAGTCATCTGGACAAACACACACAGTAGTGACCAGGTGGGACCTAAACTAAGTGCAAAGTTCAACCTGGCCTCTGGACACTTGTTTAGTGACGTGATCTGTGATGTCATAGTCAATTAAGTTTGGTGCTAAATGCAGTTTGGTTGACAACTTGCTCACATGATTTGTGAGCCGTGAGAAAATTAAAATCTTATTCTTGCTCTTTTATTTTGTCTTGTTCTCCGTTGATTCAGAACCACTCTTTAAAAAGCTTATTTGCACAGCTCGAGACATTTAAGATTTTTTTTTACATTTTTGATTTTGTGTCACATCTGCACCGTGAATAGAATGATAAGGCTTATGTGAGGATTTATTGTTTCACTATAAAGTTTGTAAACCAATTTACTATACAGCTAATGCTCGATGCTTAGGAATTTATTTCTGTCTCATCAAATTTGGGAACCTGTGTTAAAGTCACACGCATAGATGTTGGCATCCTCTGCCGATGACGGACTAAATACTGTGCCTGTGTCTAAACTTGGAGACACGATGGTTGGAGCTGACACTGCAGGAAAGCCTTTCCGTTTGCACTGTGTCAAAGAGCTTCTGTGTCTCGAGGCATCGGGCAGCACTGAAATATTAGACCCTGTTATCATGTTTCTGGTTACTTTGCTAGTGATGATAACAAAGAGAAGAGGACCGTGACCGACGCCGGGCTTTCTCTCACAAATAGATGATTGAAGCTGTACTTGAACGTGTGTGTTTCCAGGGTAAACCAGGTATTCCAGGCATCACCGGGGAGATGGGACCCCACGGCGAGCCAGTAAGTATCCTGTCTTGTGACTGTTAAATTGATGTGGTTCTTTCAGGAGACTGCAGACAAATGCAAAATTGGCAAAAAACAACTTTTCTGGAATCTTTATTTTGTTTGTTTTGCAAAGGTTTCAGTAGTATGTTTGAGAGGAGAAAGAAGTTTAGATTTCATTGCGTTATCTCTCTACGTGAGGCACAGCTTTAAACACTACAGCTTGTGCTTCCCTTCTTGGATTTGTCTTGAAGTTGTTGATTTTCTTGGAAATCAGCCAACTCCTCAGGAAGACAAACAATCTGAGACAAATATTTATTCGGGTAGGACGTTCCAATAACACCAGAGGCGCGGTTTATGTTATGTAATGGGTCTCATCTGGCCTTCGATTTCAATTGAATTTTAATCTCAGTTATCAGCTTTCCCTGTTCTACAGACTTAATCACTTAACTGTATGTTTTTATTTCAATATATGATAAAATTGTATATTATCTGGCACCGGTGCCTTATTACCCGATTTACTGGATCTAGCAAGTCCAGTAATGCTTTTATTGTATCATTTAGCTGCTGAACGGAATTTATGTTTAATTTTCTTGCAGGGACCCAAGGGGCCTTCGGGAGAAGCTGGACCTGATGGAGATCAAGGACCCGAAGTACTTATTTAAGTATTATTTGACATAAAACAAAGTATTATTAAGGGTTCAGGGTTTATTGTAGTTTACATTCCCATGTATACAGTACACATGAAAGATGATTCATTCTCTATGTTTCTCTTCTTTTTAGGGTGGTCCTGGTACCGAAGGGGAGCTGGGTGTCGTCGGAGAACCGGGGTCAAAAGTCAGTATGACGATGTCATGTTTTTTTGCAACAACTCCTCCCACCGCTGCATCTTAGAAAACATTTGTCATGTCAGTCACCTGCCCCCTCCAGCAATGTGCAAATATCTGACCTCGCTCATTCAAATAACCTTCGGTGAAAAAAAACAAATCAACGTCAAGCGTAACATTGGCCCAGCTTCAAGTATCTGTATGTGTTACTGCATATGTGAGTGTGTTTGACCTCCAGACAGCCCCGGGCTTTATTTTGTGTCCCTGCAGGGTGAGATTGGGCTTCCAGGAGCTGAAGGGGAGCCAGGACAGGAGGGAACGAGTGTGAGTAACTGCAAACACCGCGCTAACCCCTTCCTTCCTTGTGTTTGGTTAAATCCAACCGCGTTGCATATTGATTCCTTCATTTTTTGATGACGACGTCTAATCCGGCAGCATCAAAAAAAAAAAAGGTTACACGAACCGTGAAACCATCACACCAACACTGCGTCTTTAGGGCTCCTTTTCATCACTGTTCAGTGTGACGCTGGTTGTACTGACAAGTGAAATTCAACCAAAAATGGGCATTGAAATACTACATTCAGATCATTAATATAGTAGCAAATAAGCTTTTAAACTAAACTGTGCTGGCTGTGTGTGTTTCAACGTGCCCTACTGGTCGATCTTGGCCTTTCTGCCATGACAGAGACAATGGCCATGTCACATTCCTCACAGTTTATATGAGACTATTTTTGCAATAGTGAAGAGGCTTTCTTGTGAATGGTGGCGTGTTTGCAGGGTCTTCCTGGTCCCCCTGGTGAAGATGGCCCACAAGGAAAAGATGGAGCTAAGGTAAACCAAACAAGACCTTCACTCTTTTCTAGCGAGGTTTTTTAACATGACAAGAATAAGTCAACAAAGAGATGAGTTGGGGATTAATCAAAAATAATCGAGGTCTCAGAATATAACACTATAAACTAAGAACACTAGTCCATTGAATTTCCCGATATATTTGAATTACTTATAATGACTAATATACAAAATCAAATAAAAACTATACCAATAGGTCATCTATCTGACTCTGTGCGTAATATGAAACTATAAATAACGGTTGAAATGTATTGGGTTTTTGCTGTTTGTTATGCATCCTTCCCTATGTCGGTCACGCTGTCAGGGGGAGCCTGGGCCGCGCGGGACCATCGGTGAGCCCGGGGACAAAGGGACAGAAGGAGACCCCGGGCCCCTCGGATTACCCGGTGGGCCTGGACAACAGGGCTTCCGTGTAAGTTTATTTTGCATCTGGCAGTTTCCAAACTGATTTTAATGGACGATTACTGCAACAGACGGCTGCTGGTATTAACTTTCTGATTGACTCAGAAATGACAGTTAAAGTAAAAACTAGATCTGAATAAAAGCTCTTTTTAATGCCACTGGTTTCCTGTTTCTTATTTTGGTCGGTAGGATTTTTATGTGAGAGCCAACAAGAGATGGATGGAGAATAATCATACGCTTTATGACATATGGCAAATTACATCTCACCCATAGTATATTAAATACCTGCAACTGACTGAAAATATTACATAAGTGCTCTGAACCAAATCATGCTCTTGTGTCCCAGTAGGGGTCAGCCTTCACTTCAACAAAGCCTCCTTTCTCTACTCAGGGAATAATAGTTACAATGTCATATATTGTGGATATTTAGCACCTGATATATGTCAGTCAATATGTCCACAGTCTAAGTGTTTGTTTGTTGTGTGATAGATCCAGATTTATCTGCAGGTGTTTAGGGGCAGAAAGGTCACAGGTCTCAGGAAGGATGACAGATTCAGGGCACATCCAAAGCTCCGTGAGAAAACTGGGAAAAAAGACATGAAAGCTGGAACAAAGTTTCAATTGCATTCTAGACAACAAGCAATGTTGCCTATCCATAATATCTAAATATAAGTGCTGTATCAACATCAAGGCCTCTGACTCTCTTTGGTAATCATTGTATGGGTTTCCCACAGGGGCCAGAAGGAAAACTAGGGCCACAAGGGAACAGAGGGCGGCATGGAAAGAAGGTAAGGAACTTGTTCATCGCTAATTTTGCTTTACATAGTGTTTCTCGGTGAAACGGCAGCAAATAAGAAGAAATGGTGGAAGGTCTGTTAGCATTCGCAGGGTTGGAGTTAACTAGTGGATCATCTCTTTCAGCTACCTAAGCTATCATTTGGTTCAGATGTACAGTTGTTGACTGTAGTTCTGAGCATTAAAGTAAAAAAAAAACAGTTTTCTGTCTTTAACGCTAGTTTAACGTCTTGAACTAGTTTGGCTCGCTAAAGGTCAATACAAATGAATGCAAAATGGATGCTTTGTGACGTTAAAGCTGACTTCCAACGAGGATTTTCTCCGCCTTTGCACGTCATTATTGCCGTTTTCCTTTGCCAATGGACATTCTGTCTCTTTGCAGGGAGAGAGAGGTCCCGCGGGGCTTGTTGGTGAGATTGGCACACGTGGAGACATCGGCCAGCCAGGCGAGTCAGGGCTCAAAGGTGCCAGGGGAACCCGAGGCACCTCAGTGAGTTCCCAATCTTCTTGTGTTTCCTCTCTTTTAATCCTGTCAGGTCCAACTGAAGTCATGTCTAGTCATCCGTTGTAATTGTTTTATTGTTAAATTACCTGGTGTTGAGGACCTGGTGTTATTTGTGCATTCTCTTGTTTTCCTTACTGCTAAGCTTAAACTCTTCTCCGATAGCTCTCTAGTAAGTTCACACTTCATACATGTCACTCCCACCTCTCACTCCGCCACACGCTCTTCTGAAAATGGGCCACACCAACTAGTTGCTGTTTACTCTCTGCGGCTCAGGCGCTTGAGATTGATTCAGCTGTCATCACTACTGATTGGATATCCATATAAAAGGAGCAGAATTTCCCCCCATCAAATGCCCTTTTTGTTCCAAGCCTGAGAGAAAAAGAGAGCACGGAAAGACGGGAAAATATCAGGGAAAGGCAGCTCCCTTCTCAGAAGAACCACTTAGACTGTGTTGTGTTTGCTTACATTTATATCCCCATCATAACACACACTGAGGCACAGGATTCGGTTTGCGTGCGTGTGTGTGTCTGTTTGAGGCCAGGCCAAGGTTATGTTGAGCCGGACCAGCAAAACAAAAACAAACAGAAACAACACGACTGGAACGGAGTCACCGTCTTATTGCTCGTGTGTTTTCTGCGTTGCTCGCAGGGTCGGCCCGGAGTCATGGGGATGGCGGGGCAGCCGGGGCTTGCAGGATACACAGTGAGTTCCTCTCATCCATTTGCCAATGTACACTTATGTCTGAGTTGTGGCTCGCACATCACACTGTGCTTGCATCCAGTGGCGGCCTGTCTTAGTTTTTGCGGAAAAGCTGGGGTTCCCTTTCAATCTGCAACATGGCAAGTATACAATATAGCTGTTCAAAGTTTATCTCATCAAACTTAACCGCGCCTCAAATCAACAAAGATGTTTCATCTCCTCCCTTGGTAGCCTCGTGCCTCAAGACCACACAAAATACCAGAGAAAAAACACAAAACAAATAACTAAAAGGGTAAAAAAGAGAAATCGGTTTCGGTTGCATAACTGCATAAATGAACAAGGCCCCTCGAGTTCATTAGGTCCCTTTTAATGAATGTGTGCAAAAGGCTCGCAGACATTATCACACGTGGCTCAGGCTACTGAGGGATTCCTTAGTCCACGCAAAAAGCACAAATCCTAAAGCGACATAATGTAAGAGCCTCTGCTGCCTTTGTTATCTTCAATAATCAGCTTCTTTTTCTTATTTTTAGGGTCACGCTGGCAAGCCTGGGCCCATTGGACCACCAGGACCTAAAGGTGAAAAGGTAATATAATGCGTCAACTAGTGTTGAGATTTAATTATTTCAGTGTTTTGGGCTTTAGGTGAAATTTAATTCAATGTACTGTCCGCCTGCAAAACCTCATGTCTGCTTGTGTGTTGCTGCCTTCCAGGGTTATCCAGGCGAGGACAATAAGACCCCAGGACTCCCAGGGCCCTTAGGTGAACCAGTAGGTTTTGCTTTCCTTTCCGTTAACACTTCTTGCTCTCTTTAGTCCAAGCTACGTCAATATCTGATCTCCTGATTTTTTACACAAAGTACAGGCACTTCTGTACCACCAGATTGACTGCATTGGGTCAGTGTCACTGTCCTTAAACCTGTCATGCATACGGACCCCGATTATCAGCCTATGTGGCCCAAATATTTTCCTGCTCATTGCAAAACATAACCAAGTAGAAATATTATTCAAGGTAAAGGTTAAGGCACAGTGTTGTTATTCCTCTTATATTCACCAATAATGAAAATAGAGGTCTTTGTTCCACAGTTAAAACTAGAACAGGCGCTGTTACTCTGTTTTTGACAAGCGAAGGCGTTTCACTGAGGGGCATTGCTCATCAAAGTTAAATCTTGGAATTTGCAACCGAGAAAACAAAGTCACATCAAGAGGATCAGCACAAAGTTATATAGTACGATGGATATTATGAACTATGAGACACATTTCTCGGCGTATGAACGTGACCACTGTGACAGGCTTCATCAACAATCGGTTAACTGAAAGTCTACAGGGGTCCAGATTGCAACCTACCATATGAATAGCACGGGATTATCAAGTTGGCACAGTATTTCTGTACATACTGAGCAATGAGGAACACAATGCTAGCCTGTGTGTTGTTGCAGCTCAAGTAAAGATCCAGACTCAATGTTTGTTTCACGTGTGTTGGCTTGAGTAGTGACTCTGTCTTCAAGTAGCCCGGGCTTTGTGGGTATAAAGAAACGCACGACTGTACAGTACAGTAAGTGTGTTCATGTGTTTGCGTCTGTGTCTACGCAGGGGCCCCCGGGAGAACGAGGAGAGCGCGGAGAGCCGGGGGATGAAGGATATCAGGTAGACAAAACCATTAAATCGACATCAGACGTATCAAACAGTCACCACACAGTCTGCACGTTGGCTCCAACTCTCGGCTCCAATGTTTGCTGCCCGGCTCAAGTACCGTAGTCTGGAGAGGATTACCACATTCCCAGCAATAATGCCGCATAAATCTGGCGGTTTTGTCGCTTTGTGCTTCTTCGGTTAAAGAAATACGCGTCCACACATTCACGGTGAAAGCAGGTCTGTCTGCGGTTTACTTTAGTTTGAACTGTGTGGTCTGTAGCTTAAAGGGAACCACCAAGGACGCAGGAGCCCCCAATCATCTCTTTTCAAATCCGTGACATTGGGCCCGACTCTCTCAAGGCTTTGCTTTAATGCCCCTTAAGCAGTGTGACTTTTAGTAATGTTGTACTGGTATGATGAATGAAAGTGTGTATATATATAGTGTATATATATATATATTTATATATATACACATATATATATATTTATATATATATAAATATATATTTATATATATATATATATTTATATATTATTATTATTTATATATATAGGCACTAGACTTATTTTAGTTGACAAGTACCTATCTCACACTACAGCCAAAACCTTTGGTTAACAGTTGTGTAACTATTATAAGTGTAGCCCTGCAAAGAATTACCTGATAATCCAGTTTCTACCTAATAAATAATAAAGTGCAGATTATATTGATCGTATAAAGACATCAAACTTGGTTTAATCTATCGTATATTATTTGGATGCTAGAAAGCTGCAATTGAACAGGTTTGGGCAAGTTCTTCCTTTTGTAAAGAAAGGAGGAAGGACATGCACATGTCACATCTCCCAAAGGATCTCATCACTCATGAAGACAACTTTCATTTCATGTTAAACTATTTTCAGGGCCATGTTGGAACCCCTGGATCTCGAGGAGCTGTTGGACCACAAGGCCCACCGGTGAGTCAGTAAATATGCGTATCACGGTATTTCATAATAGAATGTGTATATACGTATGGTTGGTACTTTCAGTCAAATCACCTTCCCGATGGTTTTGTTCCCATGGCGACAACTGAGCATAGTGTGTATTAGTTGAACATGTTTGTGTGTTTGTCTTTGTTTAGGGATCGCCAGGCATCCCCGGAGAATCAGGGCCAAAAGGAGACCTAGGAGCTCCGGTAAGTCCACACAAATCGCCAAAATTCAGAAATGCAAACATCGTTTATCTTATTTATGAAGCAAAACGCGTAATAAATCATTAAACTTGGTCTCATCCCTTCAAATAAGATCATTGGTGTCAGTATCAGAATATTTCCACCACTGGGTTGTTTTGTACAGAATAGCCAATAAATCTATTAACTCTGCCTTGTTCAGCCTCTGCCAGCGCCGTCACTTTGCTTCAGCTGGTTTTATAAATGAAGAAAAATCAACCACAGATCTTGTTCCATATTGTCCACCTGTTACTTGATGAGCAGTGCCAGTACAAAGACTCTGTGACGTCTGTGGTTAATGATGCAGCTATGGTGGAATATCTGTTGCAGAGAAGGAAAAGCCAAAGGCTAGAAATAGGTCTGATAATACAGAGCGTTGGATAATAACGAGGGAAATAGAAGGACATGCCCTCTTAAATGTCTCCGCGCCTGTAGCACACGTGGCCGAAGGCATTATGTTAAAATGTTGTCCTTATTTTCTTCAAGTACTTGTTGTCTCTAATATTTCCGCTCTTGTTGTATGTTTCCTCATGTGTGCGCTCATCCAGGGCTCCAGAGGAAATAAGGGAGCGAGCGGGCTGAGTGGAGCTCCAGGCATCGAAGTAAGTGTCACCTCGAACATATGCATGGCTCAGAGAGGGACAGCAACGGCATCACAACTCAGAGCACTTCTACCTTGAATGGCTGTGTGATGAGGATGCACTATGGAGTATGGAACTTAAAGAGGAGCTGACTGTTTTGCCACTTGTGACATAATCAACTTGATAAAAATAGTGGAAACAAGTCTTCAGAAATGGATCTCTCTTTATTGTGAAATTTACGGGAGGGAGTACGGTTCAGACGTTGGGTATGATATATGGAGTGATGTGAGTTTGTAAAAGCCTCTTTAAGCAGAGATTGAGATTGAGTGACATTGTCGCTGTTCTGGCTTTATTCCAGGGGCTTATGGGTTTACCTGGTCCCGTGGGCATGAGAGGTTACCCGGGGGTGGAGGGTCCCCCAGGACTTACTGGCATACCGGGACTTCCAGGAAAACGTGGACGACAGGTAATCAATGACCTAATGATAATAATTGTACAGTATGTCATTTTCAAGTACCCAGTACCAATCAAAAGATTGGGTACGTTTTTAAAGTACACAGAAATATATAGAAAGTGGCTTCACTTCCATTCACCACATTTCTTCATGTTAATAATGTAATTGCACATCGTGACCCACTGAAGGCCTCGCTTTGATTGTACCGGTTCTGCCCTCATGGTAGAGCCTCTTCTACGGCAGCTGTTACCCTGCAGGCAGGAATGGCATTACATTACATTACATAGTTGAACTTTGAGAGGACCTTTCCTCTACTGTGCTTAATGCGTAATCTATAGCAGACGTGTGGTTTTCATTGGAATTATTGAATGAACCAATGACACACCCTCATCTTTAGCTTCTAACAATCGTGCTGAAACTGATTCCTTTTGAAGCACACAGGAGTTAAACATTGTTGTGTGAAAGTCTAGTATTGTATTCTAGTGCAATGTATTATATGGTTTCTCACTAGCAGAGAAATACTGAATATTTGACATATATGCTTATTTTTGGACTTTTTATAAGGTTTTAAGCAGGTTTTCTGAAGCCGGCCTGTTATAGAATCCTATAGCTCTTTGGGTGCTCTTCTACTACTTGCACCCATGGCTGTTTCAGCAGGAGACGTCCTCTGCTAGGCCGGGATATCCCAAAGTAGATGAAATATACATATATAAAACACGTATTAAACCAGGTGTTTGGTTGTAAACACAAAGAACATTGGCATGGAAACATAATCAAAGAAACTAATTGATTGTCATTATATATTGCAAAGCTTTCCAATGTTTTTTTGGCCTATGTTTGATAAAGCCTGTCATTGGTGGTGCATTCGAGGACACTTAATGTCAGCTGTTTAAGATCAGACTTTGGATGCAAGAAACGTCCCTCAGTTTGTGTTGACAACCAGTCTTCAACAGCCTTTAATCACCAATAAATCCTTAAGGTAGCATATGTATTTGTTTGACACTTCTTCAGGGGCAAAGAAGCTCGGTGGGACAGGAGGGCTCTGCTGGACGTCCAGGTCCCAGGGGAGAGATTGGACTTCCTGGACCGCCTGGAGAAAGAGGACTGCCCGGCCTGAAGGTGAAAACAAAAATACATATTAACCCAATTCACTGTAAATTGCAGAAAGGTGTCTTGACAGAAACAAAAAACGTCTCTGGGGAAGAAAGGTTTTACTAAAATAGACCAATTTATTTATTTCTTGACCCCCTGTTGGATTAGGGAGACCGGGGACTGCCGGGGGACAGGGGACCCTCGGGAATCAAAGGCATGGAGGGACCAGCCGGTGACCAGGGCAGGTTTGGTGACCCAGGACCCAAAGGACAACCAGTGAGTGCACAGAGGCATTTATGCATCTATTCATGTGTATTAGATACTGTTTATACAGTTTTCTTAATTGGTCTTAAAATGGATTTTTCAGCCATAAAATATTTTCTTGAAAAGTTAGGTTATTCCATGTGCTTGTTTTGCATTGACCCAGTGCTCCATATATTCCTATACATTCCTAAACACCTCTCTAAATATAGCTTTAGGAGGTTTAGGGAGAGAGTCTGTGTGCCTGTCACTTTTCCATCCCGAGTAAAATAAAAAATGATCTGGGCGAGACCAGGAATGGAAACATACTCCGAGTTAAGGATAAGTTATGTAAGATTTGTACCCTTACTTACACAACTCCTCAAGGAGAAGAAGAAAGGTACTACGTGCAATCCCTCAATCTTCTCTCCCTCCTCTAGTTTTCCCCATTGATGCTTGTGTAACAGAGAGCAGACTGGGGCCCTTGGGTCAGATCTCGTTGCACTATTCAGTCTATAGAAGAGTTTCTTGGTCAAAGTCACTGGCCTGAAAGGGGAGCTGTCTAGAGGAACTGGCTGTGCAAACATAGTATCTTTCGCTCCAGACAAGAGGCAGGGCTCAGACACGGAATAGTGTAGAGACACCAAACCCCGTATTGTGTATGGGCTGGGGCCACTGTAGATCCAGACACAAGGCCCTGTGTGTGAATCTTTTAAAGATGGACAAGGATATTTTAAAAGGCACTTGTACAGTAAATGTCATAATGACAGTGGGTAAAATGCAAAGCTCCTTTGGTGCTGTGATGTGATTTTCTTTTTTGCTTGCAGGGGGAACCTGGAAATCTGGGAATGACTGGTCTTCAGGGCTTTCCGGGCCCAGCGGTAAGATACTTAGAAAGAGTAAACCATTAAAAAATGATAAAACCGAACAGAAGGAAATAGGGTATATTTTTTTAAAGGCCTCTGTCATACCTTCCCTGTGTACTGACATAGAGATCATCTATCTCTTTCCTCCAAACAGGGGCCAAATGGTGATGTAGGGTTGAGAGGCTTCCCCGGCCCTAAAGGCCCGGTGGGCACTCTGGTAAGTTTAAAACAAACTGTAAGCCCCAAATTGTACTGCAGGGATTCAAACCCCAGTAGTGGAATGATATCGAAAAGGGTACAATATTCGGAAATACCAGTACAGATCTCTTTCAGTCCTCTGGAGAGGACATACACATTCTTTTTTAATCACGTATAACACCCTGAAGTCTTGTGGGATAAACTGGTACCACCTGTTTGCCTAAATTCAGTTAGAAATTCTCAACCTTTCTGTTTCTTTCAGGGCTTCCCTGGTCCGGTAGGCCCTGAAGGAATAATGGGCCCAACAGGAAAACCCGTAGGTTTCTCTTTGTTTGTGTGAAATGAGAATTCTATATTTAAAAAAAAGCAAATTTCAAGACGTTCAAGATGTTTTTTTTTATAAAACTAGTATACAAACAGAATACAGAGTGGAAAACAATACTGTACATTTTTTTTCACAGGGCCCAAGAGGCCTGAAGGGAAGCAGTGGCGAAATGGTAAGATTTGATTCAATTCAGCAATCAGCACTGAAAAGACTGATTATCTCATACTGATTTATAGTATTTATGATTACCTGCTAATATATCAAATGATTATACCATGATTATATGTGACCGATTGAAAACGCATTGCTTTGGCAGTTATCATGGCGTGACCTCAAAGTAGATCATGAGTGTAAGAAAGAGTCGCAGGCTGAGTTTAGATGTGTAGGAAACAGATTCACGCTTCTTTGCTCACTGCAATGCTGCATTAAAACAATCCAATTCACGTTGTCTTAAAGCTCTCAGTCAGTATTGTAGTATTAATACAGGGTTGTAGGAGTTTTCGAATGGTCTGCTACATTTTTGAGATCGCCAGAGCAAACAGGACAAACTATATGCATTATAAATGCATCAGTCGAGCCAGATTAGTGATTTTCTTTCTCACACTTTCAGGGGCCTCAAGGACCACAGGGACGTCCAGGACCGAGCGTAAGTGCTGACCACCATCACTTCTCAGCTTACACATACACATTGATTTAATTATAGTTTGGTGTTATTTTAAATCATGGAGCTTAGTGGATGGGTTTTGATTTAATTCAGTCAGTGCAGGCAGACTTTTTATTCATATTTCAGGCCTGACGGCGTGAATCAAAATGGAAACAGAACAATATGAGATTACTGGTGGTTTAACTGTATGATATTTCAAAAGAATGCATTTCATCAATGATCCAACGTGTTTTACCAGACAGTGAACTGACAAAACCACTGTTGGCACATTTGTTACTACTTACCACTCATTTTGTCTTCTTCTTTCTTCCCCTCGCAGGGACCTCCTGGTGCTCCAGGTCCATCAGTAAGTGCCTCATGTGACTCAAGAGGCCATACGGCAAAAAGCCAGGAGTCATGTTTTGAGTGTATTGCAAAAGAAAGCGTTGGATCATTTGAGTCATTTAAGGGGGGAATTGCCAATTATTAAAACATTAAAGTACATCATTTACATATTGCTGAACTCTGCTATCTCAGTCTGTCTGTAAAATATTCCTGTTACATATGTATTTGTTCTTGAAACACAGTTCCATCAGACTTTTCAGAGAAATTGAGAATCAACAGCAAAGCAAAGCCAACATCTGCAAACTGTTGCTTTCTGCTATTTGAATGACCTTTTTGAACTATTCTATATGTATATATACATAGAATAACCCAGAAAATATCTATATCAAAGCCATTTTTGTTAACACAAATAATATGATATAATGTTTTTTTCTCCCCCCACTGAACGTCAGGAATGTCCGTGTTTATTGATGAAAGACTTATTTTACTGCTTTAAATATTAAAACTGTATTTTTATTCTTTCTCTATAAACCGTACGTGTATTAAACTCCCATGTTTTCTGTAACCAATGAAAAAGCCTATAGATTTACACATTTCAGTTAAATAATGAACAGGGTAATATGTGTTATGTTTTCATTAAACTGAGTGTGTGGATTTTAATTCTACAGAGGCAGATTTATGTTCACTCAGCAGCCTTTGGTCGATCTGACTCCAACGCTGCCCTCAGGACGGAGGTAAGGCACGAATGCACTGAGCTTAATAACTGCAGTTAATAGGTGGGTTGTTGCATTAAGAGTGGATACATTGTCGGATGGAAAGTCGAATGAGTAATTGGGAAGTGGTTTAAAACTGTATTGCAATGTGGTACTGTAACTGAAATGAAGGCGCTTAACATATGATTTTAGAGTTTGACAGCTCTCTCTTTCTTGTTCTCAACCCAGAGTTTCCAGAATACGCAGATGAGTTCCCCGGACCTGAATACGGAGATCCTTACGAGTCTGCGTTACCTAAGCAGTGTGATTGAGAGCATCAAAAAGCCTCTGGGCACAAAGGAGAACCCGGCTCGTGTCTGTAGAGACCTGCTTCACTGTCATCAAAAGCTCAGCGATGGTGAGAGTCTCATCTAGCTGAACGGATGCAGGATCTAAGGCATATGAATTGTTTCATAAAATATACTTGCTCTCACTGTCTCTCTCCCCCTGACCTGCATTTGGATTGGGGATTTTCAGGTTGGTTTTGGATTGATCCAAACTTGGGCTGTACCTCTGATGCTTTCAAGGTATTCTGCAACTTCACCGCGGGGGGGCACTCCTGTTTACACCCCGTGGCCCCTAATAAGGTAAAGATTTCACTTGAGAGTGTAGAAAAAGAAAAAGTTTCATGGTGCAAGTTAAAATAAGTGCTGCTCGTTTTATTTATAAATGTATAAATATAGATACATTTAAAAAAAATAAAGTGACGTTTTGAATTTTGGTTGCATTGCTGAAGTCTGTGTTATGTCTTTTGAGCCTTTATTCAATAGGCTCAACACACAACATTGTAAAAATCAAACTGATCGTACTACTGATTCCGCTCCCTGTCGCAGATGGAGTTTGATGTAGGGAAGGTCCAAATGAAGTTTCTCCATCTACTGAGTTCTGAGGCCAGTCACAGCATCACACTCCACTGCCTGAGTGATCCTCCACACAGCACCAACGGATCCTTGCCGCAGGAGAACATCACGCTTCGCTTTCGTGGCTGGAACAAACAGATGTTTGAGAAAGACACACTACTTGAACCACATGTGCTACAAGACGAGTGCAAGGTAACAAGCAGGACAAAGAACTTGGCAATACGCTTCAGAATAGTCTTCAATCCCAATGCAACATATCTGATCAATTTGGAACATGAATGACTTCTGTCTCTCTTCTCCACTCGTTCTCTTTCAGATCCAAGATGGCAGCTGGCACCAGTCACGTTTCTTCTTCCATACTCAGGACAGTCGTCAGCTACCCATTGTAGACGTACAGGAGTTTCCCACATCACAGCATCACCACAAGAGTCGGCGGCATTTTGAAATCAGCCCGGTGTGCTTCCTCTGACCCCAACGTCACCGCCCTGTTACCTATTTACAAGGAAATACTGAAAGGCGAGGCTGGTCCAAAAATATGGCTGCCTAGAAAAGAGATTGTGACGTCTGTGACAGATCGTTCCATTGGTTGGAGACCAGTAGGTAATAGGACCTTTCAGAGCAGCAACTGTCCCATGTCCAATCCAAGGCAGACCTTTGTGCCAGAACTCAATCTCCAGGGAAAATTCAGGCAAAGAAGCCCAAAGAATGGGAGTGGGCATCGATATTTATCAGATGTTGTATAAAGTTTGTTTTGTTGGTCATTTTTAACAGTGCTTAGGTTGTCTGTGTATGGACACATATCACTCCCTGATCCATGGGTACGGTGTCCCTCAGCAGCGGCCTGTACGAACCCCAAAACTCGCCCTGCTTCTCACCCCTCACACACACACAGACACACACAGGCCATCCTGGGCTGAGGCCTAACTCGAAGGAGCGCGCCAGGCCTCTACAGAGGAGCACTGTCTAACTAACGATTTTATGAGTGCAATAGCATGCGGATAAGGTGTGACTGCTTTAAATACTTCAATTTCCAATCAAAAGGGTTTATCTTACTTTTTTTTTGTGATATTTTGGTCCTGGGTCCTGCCCAGTGGAACCTATACATCTTGACAGATGGTGCTCTACCTCTACCTGCTCATTTGCTTTCCAGGATAGTGTCCAATTTTCAAGTTAGCCTTTTTTTTGTATGTACCGGTTACATCAAGAGTTGTTATGTTGTCCAAGTGCTTTTGTTGATCTGGTCAATTCTAATTTATGAACCATTATTGATACACTACATATGTTTGTAGCGTATGTGGTAGCGTCTCCAAGGGAAACCTGTCATTGGTGCTGCAACACAGAATGAGTCATCAGTGAGTTTTTACATTTCCTGTGTATATACTGACAGCATACTGTATGTTTATTTATATCATTTTTATTTTTTGTTCACATTACTGAAACACAGTAATTTATACTCTCAGAGAACTATTTGGTCGACCACAGCTCAGTCTAAAGAAGTATTTATGTCCAAAGGTGTGTTTGGGTGCTCACAGCTGTGACTGCATGTTCATCAGACTGTTAGTTGAGTTCATTCAGTGGTGGTCAGGTGGACTGGCAGCTACACCAGGCCAGAGTCAGAAAACACAGAAGACAGTCATATCCTTAAGTTATGTTACTTTGAACAAAGTGTAATTATATAAATCTGTGCAGAATACATATGGATTCAATTGTGTAAATAGTAATAATACGTTGACAAACAAATAAATGGAGCAATTTATTCAAAGATGGTTCTGTACTTTTTTTAATACGGTGAAAGTTGCTGACACAATCTGTGGGGATCAAATTACTCTTGAATATAAGAACTAAATGGTTGAATGTGTAGCCTAATGTTTTCTAGTGTTTTTTTTATAGTAGAGGTGGCATGAAGATAAAGATGCAGTTTGATAACCAGAAGTCATCTTGAAAGCGAAGGTGAAAGAGTCCCTTCCTCATTCATTAGTCTCCCTACAGCAAAGGACAGTAACCCCAACGCTCATGTTCTGCCTGACAAAAACACCTAAACACCTAAAAGTAAAACACATGGAGACACCATAAAACCACATCTAAGTGATGGGGACCCCGTGTGGGGACAGTAATCATGGAAGGTTTCACATTGATAGAGTAAAGATAAACTACTTGTTGCAGTTGTATTTGGATTATTTTCAGACAGATAAGTGGATGAAACCACCAATGGTTCAAACGGTGTAAAGCATTCAGATATTTGATCGTGATGAGTACACAATATTCCTGTTTGAAGTTGGTTCTGGCTCGGTTCTGGGCCAAAGTTGGTGATGCTCGGGTGGAAATGTGCAGCTGACAATATTATGCAATTACTGTCCCACAGGACCGTAAGCTCTACACTTTATTCCCATGGTCTCTGTGGTCACTTTTTTGCGTTATCAATTAGCAATATGACCGTAACATTGTTACGGACACATTTTGTTTGTCATTCTCAACGCGGGAGGACGCTGTAGTTCTCCCCCCCGGACACCTAGAGGCGCTAACCAGCTTCTCTCCAACCGGAAGTCACCTCCTCCCTCCTCTCGGAACCCGCCGGCGGAAGTAGGTTTGTTTTGGTGCGTCGCACGTGTGCGCGCTTCTCTCCCGTCACGTGCTCTTTCATGGCGCCAACGACGGACGCGACGCCAGGTGCGCACAGCGAGATGGAGAACAACTCCGCGCCAGAAGAGCCGAAAGGAACCAAAAGAAAGATTTCTCTCTCGAGGTGAGTCGGGTGTTTTAAGGAGCCGGAGGTTAGCTGAAGCGAGCTAACATTAGCGTCAACGATCCCGCGTGCACGTCCACCGGCCCCGCTTCGGTTTATATCTCCAAAAGACGCGACGCTCGGTGCCGCTAACAGCAAACGCAAAGTAACGTGAGGTGGTACGCAGTGTTGTGTGTTGAAGCATGAAACACTTGTTATAGCTTGTTGTAACTTGTTGTGTCTCCTACAGTTGTGGCGTTTGTGGGTCGGAAGAGGCGAAGTACAGATGTCCAGCCTGTCTGGCTAATTCTTGCAGGTGAGATTATGTAATGTAACTAGTTATTTTAGTGGCAAATAATCCTCCACGATGGTTCCATGTTGTAAAAACCTGTGAGAGCATTTTCCAATAACCCCCCCTATATTGAATTTGTAAAATAAATGCATACTTGTTTCTGTATATTACAACTATAAGAACATTAGTTTGACCCTCAAGCTAATTTGCATGGTGACTTGTGTTCAATGGTCCCCATCTGTAGTTCTGCACCTTTTTTAATAACAAATCACAATTTTGTTATTTATTTACAATTTTCTTTGCAGGCCCCACAAAAAGTGACAAAAGTTAAAAATCCTAAATGGAAAAACAAAACCATTTGTTTCTATAGATTGCTTGAAGCCCTCATGTTTGAATATTAACGTTGTCATGTCTCCCATGAGCCTGCACACAGCACGTTCTGTTGGCAAAAAGCACCGGGTAATGAGTTGTAAGAGTACACTAATAGAAGACACCTCTGGTGGTTGTAAAACTTGCGCTAACCACACATATCAATCTGAATCTTTCCACAAGCATACAGATTAAAGCCAATGGAATGATAACTTCTTAAGCGGATGTAGTTGTCTGCGTCCTGCTGTGCTTGTTATTTGTCTCGCTTCTTTCAAATTTGTTGGCCTCCGTAGATAACTTTTGTTCCATTTGGTCTTCTGCTCTCTTGGTCCGGCCGTCTTTTTATTGGCCTTTCTTCACCTCTTTGCACACTGTGCAAGCAAAACTGTAGCCAAGCTGAATTTCTTGTAGGCAGTTGAAGCATTAGCTAACAAGTTCAGTTTGTGCATATTTTTCCAGCTTGCTGTGTGTGAAAAAACACAAAGATGATACGGGATGCAGTGGAGTCAGAAATAAAACCGCCTTTATAACCATCTCAGAGTTTGATGAAATGACACTTCTCAGCGGTGAGCGTCTTCCTTGCCCCCCCTATGAGAAATCTTCATTAATGTGTGGTGTCATACAACTGGATGCTACTATTATACACGTGTTAACTATGTGTCCTTTACCTGCAGACTACAGGCTTCTGGAGGATACAGGACGATTTGCTGGAGGTGCCACCAGAGACAAACTGATCCAAATTCCTCGTTCCACTGCAAGAGTAAGTCTTTGATTCAAGAATATGCCCGATGCTGGTTCCTCCACCTGACAAGGTTCCCTCTGGAGTTTGCTCCGTCCCTGTATTGTTTATTTTGCACATGCTTGACACAGCAGATCAACGGGTTGCTTTTGCGCATCATTGAGGACGGTGTTCTCAAGAGGTGTTGTTCTAGCCGCGTTGGCTGTTTTGTTTAAACAATAACACATTATATTAGTTGTGAATGGTTTTGGTAAAGAATAACTGAAAACAGAAAGTCCTGATTATAATTTCGTCACTATTGAACATCTGTTAGCTTTGAAAAAACAGTTCGTAAACTGTTGAGCCAACACTTGGGAAAATGTTTTTCATCACCACCAACCGGCGAAACGAGGTGAGCGTTAAAAGAGATTCAACACCACAGGGATGGAGTTCTTGAAAGAGACAGTTCAGGATTACAAAGAGGCCGCACTGAAAGTTAAAAATAAATACATATTTCCCAAACAAGCATCGTTTCTACTTATGCTTAAATGTAAATGTCTTTTTTAGACACATTTTTTATTTTAACGGTGTACGATTGTCTTTCCTTCAGTCTAAAGATTTATGGTGGACGGGAATGTTGAGCTGCCCTCGAAAAACTTCATCAAGCTTTACAGCCTCGTGTGAATATTTTCCACCTGCTGTTAGTGCTTTGCTTGGTGTAATTTGCGTCAGTGGTTATGCAATGCTCACTGCTCCTGACCACAGACATTCGTTTATGTAACATTTGGTGTCCTTTCCAGTTTTCTTTCACCTCTACTCTTCCTACAGAGCAACATCATATTTCATAGCCTGGAGATTAATGAATGTTCTTTTATGGAATTTCACTAATCAGTCAAAAATAATGATTCTCAGTGAGCGATAGCTGCACATGGTGAGCTTTGGATTGGATTTCTGTGTACAGCTGTGCCTTTTTGAAACTCTTACCTCCCCCTTATATGAGGTTGTGAAGTAGCTATTGGAGTGCCAGAATGAAAAGTCAAGTAACATTTAGATGAGAAGTAATTCAGCTATTGTTTGGCTCAATCGTTAATTAAATGATTTATTGTTCTGAGAGAAGACGACCCACAGCCACTACTGACTTTGCCTGTGAAATGTCAGCCAGAATGAGCTCCAGCACATCAAGGCTAAGAATAGACATGTTCTGTTACATTGTTTTTTTTTCTTCTTTTTTTTTAGATCTTAACCCTTAATGATGTACTGTCTATACTTGTCTGTTTTATAGGCAAAGAGGCTTGCAGCCAACGCCAGAAAGCTAAATATCACCTTGAGGTTTCTCCCCATCACCTTCACCAAGAGCAAAGAAAACTCTACGCTCTTCTTCACCAAGTAAGAATGCAGTATCTTGTATACAAACGTTTTTTAACGGATGAATATATATATATATATATATATATAATATATATAACAGGTTGGTCCTCTGGGGGGGGTCTTGGAATGACGGGCACGAGGCAGTCGGGTCCATTGTAAACGGTTTTTATTTATATTTTCACACACACAACAACACCGGCTCCAGCCTCCTCGCCTCGCTCTCCCGCTGTCGCCGGATCTCTCCTACTTAACAGAAGAATACTGATTGTTGATTCACATCAGCTGAGGCCAATTGCCTCCCCCGGCACCGTTCCCTGAACCACTCCCTTCTCAGTCCACACCCGCCACCACAATTGGATCCAATTATTTAAATAGTCAGCATTTCAGCAGTAATTCAGTAGCTTCGTAAAGTAGAATTGGCTTTCCAAAAAGAACTCAATACTAATTTTTCTTTTCTCTGATTACTGTCTTGAGAAAGGTCATAAACATGGTAACAATTCAGATACTTACCTTTTTTAAATGTCCTTCACACAAACCACAGTATCACGGCAGAAACGTACCGTGGCAAACATGCGCAGTAGTAGTACAACAACACGGGGCTTTAGATCAAAGCTGTGTCTCCTTCAAAACACTTATAATGACGCACAGTCGACATAGTCTATATAGATCTGGCCTGGTCTCGGGCAAAAGAGCCCTTGATTAGTGATGTTTTGCTTAACCACAGGATGGCACTCTTGTTAAGCCCAAACAGCAGTGCAGGATCTCCTCAGCCGTCTGGTGCATGAGCACGTCAGTGGAAATCTACCTGTAACCAATGTACTTTTAATTGGGCAGTTGCAGGTTATTGACATTGTCACTCTAGTTTCTGAGGGTCGGATTCAGCTGTCATGGTGTCCGTGACAAAGTTTGCAGTTCTGTTGTATTGAACAGAAGTGGAATTCTCTAAAGGAAAAGAGCCTTTCAAGATGCTAACATGCCTTTATGTTGACCCCAGTCAAAACTCTTGTCTTTTTACGTAGATTTGCAGCTTCCAATCAGCGCACAGTTGCACGAATGCAATCTTCTTGCTAAGGATCAATAGCCATGTATTCATAGATTGTGGCCGTGCATCCTCTGTTTTATTAAGCCAGTCAAAGGAACAATCCCAATATTGCACAATTAGGTGAATAGCAACTGACAAGTTAACGACGCTGCTCTAAAAATGTACCGGATGCGGTTGTATGAAAGTATTTAGTACATGAGCTCGTAATCATCCTCTAGATAGCTGGCAGGGAGAAGGTCAGTGACCTCGTCTGTAATTTTCTTCTGCTAGTTTAGTTTTGATACGTGTTATATTTTCACAAATGGTCTTTGATTGTTACCCTGCGTTGTGGCTGCTTTGCCCCCGTCTCATTGTCTGAAGCCCGTAATTACAGTCACAAAAGGGTAGCGATCTTCCAGAAAGGCTTCGTTAGACTTCAAAACGAATGAAATGTAACGTAACATAAAAAGGCGACTCGTGGCCGGTGAGCAAACCGTAGAAAAATCGTCAATGGTATTTTAATGATTATTTAATTACACTTAGCACAAAATATAACACCTCTAACTGTTCCCCTGTTGGTACTTTAATGGTTTTGGGAGAAACGAATTCAGTGTGGTCAACATTGCAGACTTGTAAGTGAGGCGTATTACTTCCTTTAGGCCCTGAAGTATGAAGTAATTCTTTGGCGGGGACACTTTTCCAATTGGCTCGGTGGCCGTGTCGTGTCTGGCCTCTTTTCTGTCTTCTGTAACAAGCTCCTGCCAATCATTTTTACCCAGTTGTTTGTGCTGGACCCCGCTCCTCTAATTCTTCTGCGGGAGAATAGAAAAGGGAGACAAGGAGAAAATGTTTACCCCAGCTGGCTTGATTTTGTTACTTTCCCCTCCGCCACCCTCTGTCGCAGCCGTGGAAGTCTGCCCCTCGGCCATGTCCGCCTCTGGTGCTTTGCAGATTCTTCCAATGTGCACATCTCACATCTCTGCGTGAGGCAACATTCTGTTTGGTAGTGAAGATGTTTCTAGTAAGTGCAATCCTGTCACATTCAGACAGCAGCAGAGGGACCCGAGGGACGGGATGAAAGGTAGACAATAAATTGTGAGGGACTAATGGAGAATGTGCCTCAGAATGTACAAAGTACATCATATAAAAAGCAGATGTGTGAGTAATGTGACTGCAGCTGGTTAGCGACATATTCCTGCTACTCGCTCACACTGCTGGAGAAAGGTTGTTACTGGCAGACAGCGCGTGTGTGTGTGTGTATGTGTGTGTTTGCATGTTTGTATGCAAAACAGTGGCCATGCAAACGCTTTCTTTCCAACTTTTTCTAATTAACAGAAATGGAGACAAGCCACACACAGTGCTTTGGTGACTAGAGCTTGCACAGGCAGTCACTGCATAATAACCAGATGTTTCTATAATAACCTGAGGTGGTTCATAATTTGAGACGCTGTGGATTTGCACCATGTGTTTGAACTCTAAACTTCTGCTTTGCCTTTGTTTTCTTTCCTGTTGTCAAACACGCTGCTCTAACGGCTTCTCACAGACCTCCTGCTTAATCCCTAAACTAATGTCTTGCTTGCTGTACACACACACACACGCACTTTATTGTGCGAAAGGATACCGTTACTCAACCATTATAGTATAGTACTACTACTTTTTTCCCCCAGTTAAATCGTATTAAAGGTGGAAAAAAGATTGTGGCACACCCTATAACAGCGTTGTGTCGACTTTTTATATGGGTACATCATTTTCTTTTCCTTCGGACTGAAGGAGAAATGGCTTCTCATCTTTTCTGGAAAAGCAGATTCATGGTTGAACATGAGGGCCTTTGTCCTGTGACTCAAAGGCTTAATCCAGGCCTAAAGACGGAGTGTCTCCTCTCCTTTCTCGCTGAGCGTGGCTTTGGATACTGGATTTATTTGTGGCATCTCAGTAGAGAGGCACCAAAGTCCTGTCATCTCAGTCCACCGGCATCCTCTTGCCACCCAAATCCTGGCATCCAGCGCCGACGGGAACACGCACTGGACACATGGTTCCTGATGACACAGCGCTTTTTAATCCAGCCAGACGGGTCTGCTCTGCCTGCCAGACCACAAGTCAGGCTTTCTGCTCTCTGGTGTTGATGGCACGAGCTACTCCAATCGCTTACTTGATCAACAGAGGGTTTTTGTTCATGAATGAATTCATCCATCCTGCTCCTGGTCAGCTTGATTCCTCAGCCTCCCTCACGGCTGCTGAGTTTCCAAGCGAGAGGCCAAGTGTAACCCTCTTTATTCTGTAGTTTTTATTAGTCCGGTTTGTGAAGAGTAAAATAGAAATAGGACCATCTCAAAGCCTAGACAACAGATTTTGTATTGATAAAGAAAAATGTTTTTTCATTATAAAAAACCTAATCCTGAATGTTCTTGATGGGTATTTCCTGCTCTATTAGTGTTCAGTCCAGACTAGCGCTGATAGCTATTTTTGCTGTGGCAACAATGTGTAGAATAAGAAGATTATTTGAAACATCAAGTTTTTTTTACTCCTGGTTTCAGACCCCAAATAGACAAACAGAATCCCACGTAATTACTTCTTGAGAACTCATCATAAAATATCCTGCCTGGTGCTCACCTTTTAGAAAGGTCTTGCGCTATCCTTCTGCTCCCGTCTGGTTAGATACAATCTTATTTGTTGGTTAAGCCCAGTTGTTGGGAGAAAACTTTTAAGGAGAAAACCCCATTTCCATGCAGGCCATCTAGCAGACAGCTTACTGGCTGGGATTCTATGGATGTAATAAACCTTTCAACACATTCTTTGTGTGCTTTTAAGCGCTTAATCTTTTCAAACGGGCACGCATGGAATTGAAGGACCAGGCCGTGCGTCCCAGTATTTGTATGCAGGGTCTTGTTTTGAAAGCAGTCGTCCTTCACCAGTGATGCTTCTGTTTTTTGACTTTTGCATGCTGCTCTCTTCCACCTGACACTTACTGAAGGCTCTTATGCCAGTTATGCACGCTGGCCTCTCCTGAAGTGATTGCATGCATCTTTGGGCAAGCCTTTTTCCATTCAAAGACATACTTTCCATTCGCTGTAATGACAGATGATGGCATCACACCTGGTGCCACACCCTCATTTGCCTGCGTGCACACACTTTGCATATTCGTACACCCACACTAATGGAATAAGGCCAGCAGTGAGCAAACACATACATTCCTCTGACTAAGGGGTTAGAGGTGCACAGGTCTTTTATTGAGCGATCCGCCAGTACTGCATATTCTTCTGCTACCCGTTTCTGATTTCAAGGAAACGACATGCACCCAGGTTGTGTCGATCCACAAAAAACACTTCACAGGACCCAGAACAATTCCTGCTGTCAAAAGGTTGACGCTATGGAGTTCAGAAGCTGTGATTACCGACACGAGTCAAACTGGGACGCCGCTGTTTAGGCCTTTGTGCTGGTAGATGGGCCTAAATATCATTTTAAATGGTGTGAAGTTTGCCAAAAGAATTTAATTTGTGTGACTGTCTCCAAATCAAAATTGAAGGCAGCTGGGTGTGTGTGTTTCTGTGCATGGAGGCATTAACTCAAGGTTCTCTCCCTAAAGGTATAGGGGAGGTAGCGTGTAGCCGCGCAGCAACAATGATAACCGAATGCACACGAAAAGTTTAAATCCATCATTTAGATGATGAATTAGATGTTTATTCTTGCAATTCCATATACACGTGCGTCCTTTTAGTCGGCCCTGCATTGATTAGTCCAGCTGCGAGGTGGTCAGCTGGGTGTCTTCCTGGCACACTGTTGCAAACCCGGTTTACCATCAGCGAGTGTCCTCAAGACTCACGCCAAGATTCTGTTCCTCGCTTTTGAAGTTTGTTAAATATAATAGTTGCACTCCCTTTTTGAAAAACCACATGAAGCAATACGTTGAATCCACTGCTGTGGATCTGTTTTGGTGAGCCTTAATGACAAGTTCTCCTCCATGTGCCTTTTAAAATGATGTTTAGCGTTGCAGGGTTCATCGGTCAGATCCATCCAGGCCTAGTCCTTTTACCAGGAACCAGCTCCTCCCTAATAATGGCATGTCTGTGGTCTTGGTCACTGCGAGTCCTTGTAGTTAAGTTCACCTCAGTATCTGGATCTGGGCTACGTGGCTTGGGGGCTCTGGAGAGCAGGACTTATTGATGCCTGTGCCAGTAGATTATGAGCTTTGTGTTTTTGTTGATTCCATCTACACCCGTGGACTGCCCGTTCACAACGGGTCGGATGCTTGCTTGTGGGTCTGTTGCATTGCTGCTCGCTGCTTCCTCAAGCGTCTTCAAAATCCCACCTGCACTTCCCTCGGTGCTGAGCTGGCGGCAAGCTCTGGTTGTGGAAAGGGACGCCGATCCATAAGTATATTAACCTTACATGCCAATACGGGGCGTTCCTCCGTTTTCAAGGTCCTGTTGTCTGAGAAAATGAGCCTACATCTTGTAAACATGATTTAATGGTCTCAATCGCTGGAGGAACAGGAGTCCCCCTGTCATGTCTGACGTGTCAAAATGGTGTTGAGGCTGGTTAAGTTACCAATCATCAATCCATTACTGTAAAACAAGAAAGGCTGAAAGGCCTCTATCTTTTTGTATTTCTCAAACTGTTATTACTTGGCTGTATCTGAATCCCAATGACGTCAGGAGTTATGAACACAGTGTTTTTCTGGGGGATAGAGATTTGGTTGTAGAGCACGCCCAGCAACCCCCCCCCCCCCCCCCAAAAAAAAGCTAGCAATTTTTTCAAGTTACTGCCCCGACCATTACCCAGAAGAAGTGATGATTATGTGATATCCACCAGCTGGTGTCCTAGTGTTGAGTGTGTATGTCACGGTCTCCATGGGGACTCGTTTACACACATACGCGCACACAGTCACACAGATGGATACGATTTTCGAAGCATCCAGGCATGTTGTCTTGGACAGATTAAGGCCGAATCCGTTTTATGTTGTAAATTAAAACAAGGGAATTTGTCTTGGGGGAATGTGAAGGGAATACTGTGAGCGCTGGTGACATCACTGCGGCTGTGAAAAACAAGCTATACTGTGTTTTAAGGCTGTAACTAACGATGACCCTTTTTCTGTGTCTCATTTAGGGAAAAACAGTTCCTGTGGCACGTGAAGGTCATTTTTCCTCAGTGCAGCACGGAGTTCAGTCAGAGAAGGTGAGTTACGCACCAATATTCCATTTCTTGAATGATCCAACCATCGAGAAGCAAATTATCATTATTGTGTGTGTGTAGGGGACATTTCGGTAAAAGGGCCGTGTGGGTACACAGTCTGCACGTGGCTGTAGAGGATTGTTAATCATGCACAGAGATACTATCCACTATAATTGGTCTTGGTTTGGACGTTAACAGCAGACAACTTTCCCCTTCTGGTTTTAGGGTGTCAGATGGACAAACCCTGGAGCAGATCCTTATTCCTTACATCCACCCGACGCAGTCGGACCCGGTGACGCGCCAAAAGTAAGCCTTTTCCTTTTTTTTGTTTTATGACCTGAATGTAACATCTGTAAACCTGTGAGGCCTTCTGGGACATGCACATCTTTCACATCTGCAATTAGTCCGGAATCATATTGTAATTCCCACCCATGCATGCTTTTCATGGTGAGTTAACTAATGACTTGTATCGTGATGCAAAAAATCAAAAATGATTCCTTGCACAAGACCCCTCGGCCAGGTCTCTTCCTTGAGGTTGTGACTCTTAACCTGCAGGGTTTGTGTGGATTTGTGTTGCAGGCTGAAGATGTATGTGCGCACTCCGTTCGATCATGTGAAAGTCTTCATGAAAGCAGAGGGGAGGAAAGCGAACTCTGTCAGGTGAGATTCTTTGTACTCCCCTTTCTCCTTTTTGTTTTCATCAACATAATGTCATGCGTCTTTGATCTCTGTAGTGCGCAATCAGCAATCAAACTCACGCAAAGACAAATATATCATTGACGGAGGCCAGCGATTCCCAAAGTGTGGGCCCACTGGTGGGCCGCGAAGGTACTGCAGGTGGGCCATTAAATGTCTTTAATTTTCAATTTTGAAAAGTTTGAAATTAATATCAAAATGTTTATGATGCGGCACATTAGTTATGTAAAACATTAATTGATGAAGCACAAACTATTTAAACTAAAAGGCCTTTAATTTCCTCAAACGACAGTGCCTTATAATCCGGAGCGCCATATATATATATATATGGATCAATAGGTTAATCGGTTGATCCATACTGGTTGTACACGGCGCTCAAGGCGCTCTGCCAAACATGCCAAAGCTCGGTCTACGATGACGAGACGCTGAGCGGGCGCTTAAGCGCATAGAGGATGGAGCTTTTTTCAGGGCGCGTCGGAGAAACAAAGTCGTTCTCGCCGAGCGCGAGAGATGGTTAAATAATTGGTTAAATTCTGCAGGTCATTTAATCATCCCTAATTTATGTTTTGATCGGAGTTGTGATTAAAGGTTTGGGTGGGCCGCAAAACATTTTCAGATTTCAAAGTGGGCCGCGGCATTCTTGAGTTTGGGAACCACTGACGTAGGCAATTGACATGCAGGGTTGGGTTTTGAGAATAAGATGAATTATTGCTCAAGCATCCGGTCCGTGAGACTGTTCTATTGGACTTTCTATTCATGACTTTTTATCCAGCGGGTATCTAATCAGGACAATTTTGTTTGTAATATGACATCACTGACTTGTAAATTCCTGCAGAGCTACACAGACTTTTGGCAGAAAGGCTTTGAAGGCATCGTTGAGAAATGCCATTGATCAGCAAACTACTCGACCTCCATTTTCCTCTCACTCTCTTTCTCCGTCTCTCCCCCACTCGCTCCCATCCCTTCTGTCTTGTTAATTCTTTATCGCTTTATCGGCGGGGGGAGTGGAGGGGGGGGCAGGACTGACTGTCGTAAGCACCTATTTGCTTCCCCTACTTTCAGATTCCATTCCCACTTAGTCATCGAGTGAATGACGATCCTCAGTGCCCGTAATCACTGCCTCGTCATCCCTCCCGTCCTTCATCCTTATAACACAACTACTTATTTTTCTCTCTTTACACTATTGGCTTTTCGGCTAGGCGCGTCGCATCGCTTGTCCACTTAGTTAAAGTCATTGCATTTTCTTAAGGAACGCTGCAGTTAACGTTCAGCCTGCATGCTCTGTTTTAACGGCAAATACTAGCTTGACAGTAGTAGACTGCTTGCCTGGGAGCTTTCATCATTAATAGCTCAAAAATCAATCAAATAATAAAGGCATGGAGAACTATGGTTGTTTTATTACATTGCAGGACTTTCTCAGCAGATGGAGAGGCCCTTTGCATGTGGAAAAACCCCAGATTAGCGGCCAATGAACAGATAAAGGCACCACAGACCTATTAAAAAAAGGCTAGTATGTGGAACTGTCAATGTCAACAAGCATGACTATGTGCATATCTCCTCACCTCATTGGACAGTCTTCCATGTCAAAGAGCTTTTGGTGACCCCCCCCCCCCCCCTCCCATTGCTGTTATAGAACTACAAAGTCCCATTTATAGACTTATGCAGAATACCCATGTGATCCCTCACTGAGATCGTCATGCTTATTGTGCTTCCCTATGAAGGCAACTTCTAGTACGTGTCAAGGTGCAGAGGTTTCCTGGGAGACTGGTAATAAATGAGTCACGACTGTCTACTGACACAACCTGTAGCTACAAAAATATTCTGTGAATTACTTATAACCTCTATCAGTTGGAAAGAGTCGTAAATCACACTTTGGAAAGAACTTTTTAAGTAATTCTGGGGCATAAATCTCCCTCTCTCCATCCTTAACCTGTCATACCTTAATAGCTACAGTACGCGTTTAAATAATGAAGGACTATTAAGTCTGTAATTCAATTCTTGGTTGATTTTTTTCGAATAGATGTGGGCCAGAACTAGGATGCTTGTCCAACAGTAATTATCTTGCATTAACTAAGCACAGTTCCATAAGAAAATGATGACTTCACGCCATAGCGCTAACGAGAAGAGGGGCCCCGGAATGAGGTTACATCAGGGGTCCCATACTAGGTCAAAGCATCGCCACCACAAAGGGGCCTTCACATATTATGCATAACGCAGTCTTGAAAGAAAGCCCTTCATTTTGAAACGTGTTATTAACATCATGAGGTCATGGACCGCAGTAGTCATGGCTACTTGTCGGCCGCTCGCTTGGTCCAACACAAAGGCCACGGCTGCATGTTTTTGTTGGTGAACGTCTACTGGAATATCACTTGAATAACGGAGCTCTTATGCTAAAACAAACATAGCTGTGTAACCAGTCAACAGTCTCTTACTGGAAAGGAGACTGACCGAGCATCAAGGGAACCATTCACACCCTTCTGGATGTTTGTTTGTGTTATTTTTAATATTTGTTTTTATTCAGCCCACTCTGAGGATGCTCTTTCCCCCCGTGGCTCAGCTCTTCTTTTCCTCTCGGCCGCTCTGTTGACATGCCAGGAGTGTATGTGTGTGTGTGTGTGTGTGTGTGTCTTGTGTTGCAGAGCCATCAGACTGTGACATTTGTGTCCCATACGAGCCTTGCATTCCCGTCACATATTATTCCCGTAGGCCTGCTGAGTTCTGCGCGCTCTCCGCATTGCCTTCGAGCGAGGTTGCCGGATTGTTTTTGTGCATCCGATGGTTCCTCAAGTCTCTTGCAATCCTGCACCGGTTCTGGGCCATTGTTTCTAAAATAGCAATGCGATTTATTTATTTCATAATTTTTCATTGTCACTTTTTCGTATTGCGGTAGTATTTATACACAAGTTATGTTCTCAAGATCAAACTAACATTGATTTCACAAACCACTGCTGGTGCCCAATTTAACGCAGCAGTGAATAAAAGGAACCATTTAATCACTAGAACACTATATAGACCCCAGATGTGTGTGTGTTGTTGGCTGAGCCATCCAGGTGTGTTTCCAGAAATGGACAGAACTTATAAGTTGTATCAAGAAGGAAGCCACACTTTGCTCTTCCAGCTACCTCTGCTGTTTACATACACTTGTGTTTTGATTTAGTCTGCATATCCACCAAAAAAAAGAAATATCCGTGAAGATTGAATTTATTGCACATTAGAAATAAAAACGAATGCAAATGTGTTATGTCTGGTATGTACACTAGATAAAGAGGATAAACTGACTCTACTGTTGGCTCATTTTTCTTCCATGCCATTTCTTCCCTCCTGATATGGAGATGAGCCAGAAACACCATTCAGCCATGTGATGCCCTGTGCATGGAGGCCCACAGGCTGTCCCTCCTTTCCTCTCTCCTGCCCTGCAGGAAGTGCCAACACAGTTCTGCTTTTCATTTGTGGGATTGTGCAAAGTGGTCTTTGGCCCACCTAAAGTGAAACTCTTTGAGGCGGGAGGCCTTTTCCGGCGCTGGCCCACCAGTAGACCCGTGACTGTCCCACTATCGCTGGGCGCTTTGATGGGCTTGAGGAGGGGGCTGCTTCCCAGGCTTTTAGCAGAACAAACAATGGCTCAACAATCTGCCATTGGCTCGGGTGTGACCGTATCTGTTACTGTATAACTCCAGAATGTGTGATGCCTTGTGTTTTGCATGGCTGGTCCTGAAGTGTAGAGGCAAGAATCACGCTAACTATTTAGTCTGGTTATTTATGACCGTCTATAATCACCGGATTACTTGGAGACAAGACCAGACTGATGTCGTCTCACACGGGGCACTGAAGGAGGGACGTTGTGGATTTCCATCTCCCGAGACGAATATCAATGTGCCAAATCATGACTCATATCTCTATCAACCCTGAAAAGATTCTCAGCCGTCAACATGGAACTTGGGGCTGGGAACAAAAAGCAGTTACCAGTTAGTTTTTCAGTCAAAGCAAAGAAATGACCTGTAAATGACCCTGCTAACATAATTTACCCAGCATGATGATACTGAGCTGCCTTCTAATCACCTTTTTTTTTTTTTTTGTTATTGTCCAATTTCATCTGGAATAGGTACCATGAGTTGGATATTTGCAAGACCCTAAGGGACAACCTGAGCTACAAAACAATAATTGAATATCCTGTGCTGCACGTTGTACTCGGAGAACATTGGAAGGAGTTTCCACTAAAAGGATCAGGTAAATAACGTTCACCTTCACCTATTTCACCTAGATAAAAGGGTGGACCCAAGAGTCAAAGCCCTGTGAGAACCAAAACGCCAGTCCTGATCCACTGCCCCGATTTCAACTGCATTGTATCATGTCCGGGTTTCTCCAGCTGAGGCTTAGTGACTCCCTGCTCACTTATTCTTTACGATGGCAGCGTGCCACCCCGACGGAAACAGGGATGTTCTGCACAGCATCACACACACACACACACACCAACCTTCACCTCACCAACACCGGCCATAAAACAAAAGTCAAACCGTTTACTTTTGAACACAGATCTCATAAGTTCTAAAAAGACAGAGAAATGAACAGGAGATCAGCCTGTGGCTTTTTCTCTTCTAGTGCCGAATGTTTGGGGCCAAGACGAGTCATGACAAAGTGGGACTGCATGTCACCAAAAAGCATTCAGCAGTTTGTTCACATTGAAACGTGCACAGTGTGGTCAAACTGTGCTGGGACAAAAGCGCACACTAACCCAGTATCAGTACACGGGCAGGATGAGCTCCTTTCAGTCTCCGCCTGTGCACCTTTTCACTGATAAGGCCTTGGTGCTGCACTGCTCTGGTGTAATGTTAGCCAGAGGAACATCTAGTATGAGTATGGTGGTGTTGAGGCTCCAGCAGGTCGGTAATCCGGTTAGAACGTTGCTTAATAAAATTGCAGCAGTGGGGTTTTTAATTTTATTTATGTTCAGTTGAGAATGCACCGGAACCATTAACCTGAACATGAATATGTGTGAATAGAAATGACAAGAAGTAATGCTCCCTGCCGACGATAAATGGTCAATACGAGTCTAACATGGCTTTTTAATTGCCTCGTGTTGCAGCACAAAGAATAAAAGCCAAATGACATTAATCTTTCCTATCATAGGTTCGGCTGGATAACCGTTTAAAATGTGTTTGCTATGGTGTTAAAAGTCAATTTTGGTTTCTATGAAGCTGCAGGCTGGGGAGTGATTGCTGATAATTCCTATTATCCGTCCTGCAGTCATTTTTCCTGCATTCATCCTTTCACACTCGTCCACCCTACTTTATTGCGTAACTAATTACACAAACTGGGTCATGTCGTTCCAGCTGATCCTGCCTCAGCCTGCAAAAGTGTTGCGTTACAAAAAGAGCTGCAGGACCAAGAAAACAACAGTGTCGTCCAAGTTTCACCATCCCTGGGAGGAGCCTGCAAGCCCGGGGGAACCAACATCTGGGCGGGAACCCTGGAGACCACCCCTGAAACTGAACATCCACAAGTGAAACGGGCTAAGAGAGAAGCAGGGAAGGGAGATGTGGAGGAGGGAGAGCTCACAGACAGTAGTGAGGAGGAGGAGGAAGGAGGAAAGGCTGCAGTAAACACTCCGCGTGGTAAGAGCGGTGACGATTGCAAAAGCCCCGCTGATGAGCCGGAGGTAATTGCAGGCGAACTAAAAGGCCGCGTGGACGGTATCAATTAACGCAGCGCTGGCAGCAGGAGCCGGTTCATGAAGGAGAACATCTCCGGTTCCTTCTGATGACCATCGAGCTGTCAGAAAAGTGCTGAGGTCAGTATGACTAAGGGACGTCACTGTCGCAATGAGTCAGCTAATGCTGCTGACAGCTGTGGCCTGGAGTGATGCCCAGATGTGAAATGGACAAGGAGGCAGCCATATCTGACAGGAAGTCGTCCCTCGTGTGCCCGCGACCGGTGGAGCAACGTGTTCTCCGCTGTCCTGAGCTTGACAGGGATTGATACCGCTGTATCGTTGTATATAGATGGAAGCAATGTTAATGATTAGTTAGTCTTTCCCACATTTGTGTAGCACTGCTGCTCCTGTGCAGCAGATGCTGACACTAGTATCAGACCACAATATAATTTGAAGATAATCCCATGTGTACAGGAAACGGGGGCGGCGTGGTATCTACTGAGATAGAGATTTATATCTCTTTAAATCCTTATCTCAAGGTACATTAAAGACATATTTTTACTGACTATCAGACCTCATCTTTTCAAAATGATTCATGAGATGATTAGCTCCAGAACACCTCATAAATAAAGTTTGACGCCAGATTGTTTTGCTTCCCAGGTGAGTGCACTTGGGAACTCCATTTTCAAATTCTTTTCATGAGGAGTTTGAATCCCTTCCTGTTGAGGAAGATCAAGTGATATCATTTAAACTAGTCTCTTGCGGATTAATGTCATTATAAAGCTTAAAGTTTGAACAAATTTTATTTGCTACTTTGAGCCTTGCGTGTGTTTTTATCCATCAAGGATCTTTATCCTTCAAAGAGTCACGGCATCTTGAAAAGTGCTTTAAAAAATATTTAGAACCATGAAGTTCAGCAGGAGAGAGAAGTCTTTGTTTTACACTCAGTACGTCATCTGTTCCTTCTTTGACTGTTTATTTTTAATTAAAAGCTTTAGCACACCAGCATCTCTGTGCCTCCATCACCTTTGAAGTTCAACATGTTTTTTTTTTTCTGCCAAGCTTCATTAAGACCATTCGTCTCCTTTTTCCATCAGCTAATAAAAGTTGATGTTGACATGCTCGTTTTTCTGACACCTCCGGGGTGTCTCCCTGTGTGAATGTTGTTACCCGTGCGGTGCCTCTACACACTGTATTTTCTACCTAATGTTAGTTTATTATGACACCAGCGTGCCAGTAACAACCGAGTGCGGCTCATTGGTGGGGCCTGTGTTCATAGATGTGTTTTTATAACCTCGGTTAACCCCCATGGGCTCTTTGATGTCTGGCCTGGGATGACACGTTTTCCACCCTTTTCCCAGTCGGAGGCAATGCTCACATCTCACTGCGCATCAGTCGGCTACAGAGGACCAACGTACTCGTTGTCCTTTGGGCCCGGCCGCACGTTCCATGGCCGGGCATAATATCCAGCAGGGTCGACATACGGCTGGCTGGATTCGAATTAGAAAATATGTACAAAGATGGGGTGAAATCATCCGTTCATGCAAAGATCTACTTAAAATTCAGGTCAATAGGCCTGCTTGTTTTTGTCTAGAATTAAATGTGGAGACCAGTACCACTCTCTCTCATCCCTGCTTCCAGCAAACAGTTGTCAAAATCCAGCAGACTGCACAAATCAGAAATGCACAGTGCTTTGATATCGTGTGTGACCTTATTGATGTAACATGTCACACAGTTGAGGACATTACAAAGTACACATCTGTTGCTTTATTTGTCACAACTTTGCCTGTGTTCAATCACCAACCATTTTACTTTAGCAGCTTTCTTAAATTTCTCTGTCAATAAAGACGCTCCGTGCGACCACACAAAAGCTCTGCTTTCTGGTTGCCCCTAAAAGTAAATGTGGGCTTTTTTGTTTTTAGTCTGGATACCACAATTTAAGTAAAAGTCTCTTTTGAACTCTGCAGATTGTTTGCACTTAATTAGTCTTGATTTGGTCGGCGGGGCTTAATTGTGCTTCGTGCAGAGTGGGTTTTTATTTAACGTTGGCACAAGTTCCCCATCAGGAAAGGCAGGTACTGAAGCACGAAATCATGTTTTCCAGAGCCTGATGTCATTCACACATGGCACACAGGGTGGTTGTCATTAGGATCATTTATCAAGCAGAACCTCCGGAGTGCATGGAAACATTCTCCGTGCTCGAAATCAAACACGTATCATGTGCAACCAAATCTATAATTTTGCATGCAAATTTCACATTTTGAATGGGCATTCTACTAATATTTCACTTATCTGACTCTTCCAAACGTAGAGAAATACCACTAAATGAGGCCATCTGTTTTTCCTATGAGAAATGCTGTACCGCCGTGGTTTCTATGGTCTGTTCATTGTCTCGCTTATTCTGGCTATTATAACATCTTAAACCAGTTATGCCCCACTACAAGTTTCCGTCGGTCAACAAAGACTTTACCTTCCTTGAATGCATCGGCTCAAACCTCCCCCCCATAAGTCCACACACATGACTTACAAGTCGTTTTGTGAGGATTTCAGTGTGTGTTACAAGAACTAGAAGCAGAAAAGCTACGGAGCCGTCGGCTCACTGAAGTCATCCAGCTCTTTAAGATAAACAAAAGCCGCTACCGCTCCTCAACGCAGGCCGACCAGCAATGTTGTCACTGCGGTCACCTCGGAGACTGATCCCCACGTTGTTGGAAGGAAGTGATTCACTTGTTCCTTCTCGGCCTGTCTCGTGTCAAGCTGACAGTTCGGACCAAAACAGCCTGCTTGTTGCCTGTTATTCCTTTATTATCAACCTTGAGTAATCTTTTCAAAGGACCTGCGATTGAGCCTCACAAGACCTTCTGTTTTCTGTGCCTTTTGTCCTGTGTACAGACTTTGATTGCATCTCGTAATACAATACAAGTACAATTTTTGAGAAGCATGTGCAGTGAAGTTTACCGTTTCATTGGTAGAATAGAAGCCTTACAAGTGAAAGACGTTCAAACAACATGGTGAAAAGGTCGTTTTGTGGGTTGGGGGGGGGGCGCGGGAGGTCTGCATCTCAACTTGACCGTGGGAGCCGTGTTGTCATTAGCTTCTGGTAGGCTGGTTTGGATCCCAAAGCAAACTGGTCACAGATAGGGGGTCCCGCTAATCCCGATTCAAAGACTCAAATTGTTTAGTGAGAGAGTGACCCTGTCAGATTAGGTCCAGTTCCACAACCCAGGCCCGGCGTGGTTCCGCTCAGGCCGCTGTTTTGTCGCCAGGTTTGACGTGACGCGGCATTCGAAGAGCTTGATAACGTCCACTTTAATCCCACCCGTGATGTCCTTCAGACTGCGGCATTCAGCCGTTTCTCACTGCAGGCCACGTTTGGTAAGAGCATGTGTATGAGCTTTTTTTTCTTCTTCTTCATATTGATATCTGTTTCTGTGTGCGGTTACTTAATTGCAGTGTGTGACTCTTTTTGTGCGTGAAGCCTCGACTCATTGTTGCCACTCACTAGCCACATTTCCATGGCGTGACCATTGTTAATTCCCAGGATCAAAAGAAACTCCGAAGAAATCAGAAATTGTGTAAGGGTGGAAAGTGGGCGCCAATATAATGACGGCATGAGGCCTTGCGCTTATGCCTACACAATAGTGGAAACCAGATTGCAATTACCCTGCACGGGGGGGACAGAAAAGAGTGGGAAAAGACCAGCGAAACCCTGAAGCGCACCACAGCACAGCAGTTTCAATCCCATTTTTAAATGTAAATCATGTTGATAAAGTTCATCAATCAGAGAAATGAATGAATATATAGCGTATTTTGGGTACCAGCATTAACGAACTGTTGAATTGTGGAATATGGTATACAACACTGTTTTGGAAAACTGGTGGTCACAACGCACTTTGTTTGGTTTTAAGATCTGCTTGTGATAAATGAAAGTTTTCTATGAACTAATGATGTGGTACAGTATGTAGTATAACGAAGCTGAATATGGAAATGCAAAAACGAGCATAAAAACATGATTGAACGTTTACTCCATGTAACCTTTTTGTTCAGAATCAACATGACATGACTTCTGTGGGTGGTATTAATAAACTTAACTAAACGTGCACTCATTTCCGCCAATTCAAGTCACAAAGAACATCGTCCATCACAATGAAACACAAAGCCAGTCGCCGGCCGTAAAGTGGCACTAAATACCACATTTTCATTTATTCTCGGATTTTCAGCGCGCACATTTTACGATGCATGATTTCTCACATTTCCGCGAGAATGTAGAATTATGTGATTATATGTTCGTGGTCTTTCCACGTTCAAACAACAGTGACCTGCCGACATTAGCTCAGCTCCTGACGGTATTTTCCCCCCTTGGAGATTATTCAGTCCAGCCTTCTCGTCCATTGGGCTGAGACTCGCACCGCACAGAGACTCAGTGTTCCCTCTCACATCACTGCTCAAATTGTGTGAGTAGATAAGCACTCCAGCAGCCAGCCAGCGGCCCTCCGGGGACCGACCCAACAGCGGATGGTCCCACAGGCCTCATAGGCTCATCGGTTATCCGCTTGGAGCTGGCGCGCCTCGCGTCACCGTCGCTGTGTGTTTGTGCTGTGTGAGAGTAAAAGGGAGAGCGAGTGAGGGAGAGGACGTGGGAGACAGAAGTGTCCACACGTTCGGCAAACGTATGTCTCTTAGATCTGTGAGCGAGCGAATACGTGAACAAATGACACTTATCGTTTGTGTGACGTTTACTCAGTTTCAGCACCAGTGTGACGAGTCCTCCAGTTGTGCAAGTTTCATTATTCATCAGTCCAGCCTCTTATACAAACACAACGCTCGTCTCTACTTTGTCCAGCAGATGGTGCATTTGAAAACCGTCGAGGACATTAGTACTTGATGGTCAGCCTCTAGCGCCCCCCCCCTTTGCTTCTTGCCCCTGGTTTCAGTACAGCAGTGAATATTAATCTGAGGTTTTAGACGAGGGGGCTGTTAAAGCGCTGACATCACTCTCGTCCTGTTAGCTTCTGACTGCACGGCATTACGCGGCGCGCGATGAGGCTTCAACGCTAATGTCTTTGTCGTATAAACACATTTCTGGTTGAGGGAATGAGGTAGTTGCTGAGTGAGTTAATTGTGTGTGTGTGTGTGTGTGTGTGTGTGTGTGTGTGTGTGTGTGTGTGCGCGTGCGCGTGCGCGTGAGCCTGGTTGGCCTGCGTGTGTCAGAGAGCGATAGTTTTCACAGGTTGGTGCTGTGTTGGCAGGGACAACCCAATCTTTGGCTTCTGTTAAGGCTGACGGATCGTAAATCTCGCCACTGGGCTCGTCTGTACATTATAAAGGAATGTTACAGACGGCCGAAAGGAGTGCTCACATAGCACACAGATGCCGTTACATAACCCAGTTAGCTGCATTGTGTCAACAAGACAAATGACAGTCTGATTGCCGAGGGCAGAGGTGGGCCTTTTGGGGTTTTTTTCTTCAGCCAGCGGGAGAGGGCCCTGAAAGGGTTTGGTGTGTGAATCCGGGCCGTGAGGGGCAGCCACACATCTCTGTGATCGGGTTAAGCTCGGGAGCCTTTCATGTGAGCAATCTGCAAAACCTCATTGGGCACATCCTGCGCGGTATGCGGCCCAATCAAAGGCAACGTGTCCTGCTTAACCTCTTATTAAACACACTTGATGAAGGCTTATTGCCAGGAATGTGGTGCAGGAGTGTGATTTCCCGTCAGATAAACATGTTTTTCTAACTGTTTGCGTGGCGATGAGATGCCTTTTGTGGCTTCCAGTGAGCCCTCCCCTCACCTCCTCCAGGAGCGTTGTGCGCATTTTCGGAAAATCTTCTCTGAAAATAATATTTTTCCAACATCTGCCGCCCATCAGGATGTCTGCTTTCTGAGCCACTGCTGCATTCCTGAGCCGCTCCCTATACCTGGATCAAAAAGAGAAACTCTACCGTGTCGTTGCCCCTGAGCTCTGCTCTCTCTCTCTCTCTCTCTCTCTCTCTCTCTCGCTCTCGCTCGCTCTCTCTCTCTCTCTCTCTCGCTGCTGCTCAAACTGTTCTGTGGATATGTGTACTCATCTGGAATTAAATCCTGTGTCTCACAAAGGCAGAAGACATCCCTTTCAAACGGATACTTATTGTGCTCTTTAATAATGCCCTCCATATTGCATGTATTTCATGTGGCTTGGTGACAGAAGTTGCAGTCTGAAAATGTAAAGGGCCCAGATTGAAAGAGGGGTTTGGGGCAGTAAATCGACAGAAAATGGAATTCAAAAAGTTTCCTGTCCATCCTCTTTTTCTACCTCATAAGAGTACCTCTTAATGCCTGTTTTACTGGAGCCTGGAGGGCAGACTTGAGCCCTTTCCACCTCACAGGGCTGTTTACAACTGTTTAGCAGACCCCTGCAGGTTAAGAGCCTGCAGAGGCCGATGCAACTAATCCACTTTGAAAAACAACCGCTCATGAATTAGGTCAATTTGGTAGTTCTAGTACGCCGTGTGAAAAAAGAAAAAAGCTTACCCGGGAATGCATCCTTTGTATACAACCCATTGTATACAATACCAGTCATTGTCCCCCTTGCATGGTGTTTAATCCCAGCCCATTCAGACCAGCACTTAAGATACTTGGCGCGCTCCCATACCCGTTTCCATTGGTGGAGCCCTCTCAGAATCAGTCGAGTGTGCATGTCTTAGCCGGATCAAGTGAAAGAAAGCTAGCTCGCTGCAGAAAGGCATTCCAAAGCACGTTTGTGTTGTGTGCCGTACAGACCGAACCCTCCTAGGTGTCTGTCTGAGAATCTGCTGGGTCTCCAGAATGCCCCCCCACCCCTCCCCATCTGCCTTGTGCAATTGAGCAGTGTAGTTGGACCAGACTGAACTCAGGCAGTGTCGTATTTCATAAATAAATCAGTTTTATTTGTGGCATATAAAATTAAATCATTTTACAATTTATTCCAGTATGACACATAATATCCAA